ATACAGGCCAGAATAAGGCTAGAAATAACGAGGTTAATTCAGTCAGGGAGGGCGAGGCTCACTTCTAGCAGCTGATCTGGAGGTGTGAACACCAAGAAAGGAGAAACTGCTTTTGTACTTGGCTAGCCATTCACAGTATTTGTTTAATCCTAAACGGATGGTGTCAAATTTGCAGATGAACTGTAGCTCAGCAGTTTCTCTTTGAAGTCTGGTCTTGAAGTTTTTTTGCTGCAGGATGGCTACCTTTAAATCTGCTACTGTGTGTCCAGGGAGATTGAAGTGTTCTCCTACAGGTTTTTGTATATTGTCATTCCTAATAAAACTGATTTGTGTCCATTATTCTTTTGTGTAGGGACTGTCCAGTTTCGCCGATGTATATAGCAGAGGGGCATTTCTGGCACATGATGGCATATATTATATTGGTAGATGTGCTGGTGAATGAACCAATGATGGTGTGGCTGATCTGGTTAGGTCCTGTGATGGTGTCGCTGGTGTAGATATGAGGGCAGAGTTGACACTGAGGTTTGGTGCATGGATTGGTTCCTGAGTTCGAGTTACTATGCTGCGGTGTATAGTTGCTGGTGAGAATTTGTTTCAGGTTCGTGGACTGTCTGTGGATGAGGACTGGCCTGACTCCCAAGGCCTGTACAAATGAGGGATCATTTTCCAGAATGGGTTGTAGATCACTGATGATGCATTGGAGAGGTTTTAGCTGAAGACTGTAGGTGATGGCCAGTGGTGTTCTGTTGGTTTCTTTCTTGGGCTTGTCTTGTAGTAGGAGGCTTATGGGTACATGTCTGGCTCTGTTAATCTGTTTCCTCACTTCCTTGTGCGGGTTTCGTAGTTTCAAGAATGCTTGGTGAAGATCTTGTAGCTGCTGGTTTCTGTCTGAGGGGTTGGAGCAGATGTGGTTGTACCTTAGTGCTTGGCTGTAGACAATGGATCGTGTGGTGTGTCCGGGATGGAAGCTGGAGGTATGAAGGTAGGCATAGCGGTCAGTAGGTTTTCAGTATAGGGAATCTGTTTAAATGGTTTTTTTAGGCTTAGGAAGAAAAAACTGTTAACTTGACTCACTTAGACACATTCCACAGTAGCATGTGACCATCAACACTCTGAAACTTTTTGTGACTTATATAAAGATTAACTGACCATTAAATTTCTAGAAATGTCATATTAACTGCAGAAATCCGCTCCTCAGAGAGACGGCAAAAGAGTGTGAAACCTGAATTCAAGCAATAGGGGTTTGAAAGAATAATTAAAGTCAGAAATAATTTGCAGTTGCTAGTAATGAAGTTCAAGGTTTGCAATACAGCTAAAGCCAACTGGAACAGAGGTATTAGTTATCATAATTTCCTTCTTTTAAATATTTTCATAGGGCTTCTGATCATAAATATTTCTGAAGTGCAAGCTATTAACACAAAGTGATCAATAATATACTGAAACCCTACAGCTACCTAAGGGTATGTCTACACTACCACCCTAGTTCGAACTAGGGTGGTAATGTAGGCAACCGGAGTTGCAAATGAAGCCCGGGATTTGAATTTCCCAGGCTTCATTTGCATAAAGCCGGGCGCCGCCATTTTTAAATGTCCGCTAGTGCGGACTCCATGCTGCGCGGCTACACGCGGCACGGACTAGGTAGTTCGGACTAGGCTTCCTAGTCTGAACTACCGTTACTCCTCGTTCGAAGTCTAGTCCGAACTACCTAGTCTGTGCCGCGTGTAGCCGCGCAGCATGGAGTCCGCACTAGCGGACATTTAAAAATGGCGGTGCCCGGCTTTATGCAAATGAATCCCGGGAAATTCAAATCCCGGGCTTCATTTGCAACTCCGGTTGCCTACATTACCACCCTAGTTCGAACTAGGGTGGTAGTGTAGACATACCCCAACTTAGCAAAATAGAGAACTCTTACCAACTAACTATATCCCACTGGTGATTGCTTCTGCACATGCAGTGCTGCAACTAATAAAGTAATAGGTTGACTTTGTTTAGGATATGTATACCCTTGTATCAGATGTGGAAGACTGAATGTTTTACACCAAATTGGTCTTTTGTGAAAAAAGATGCTCTCTCTACCTAATGATCTCATGATATTACTTTCTGGTTAAAAATGTTCTATATGGCTATAGTTTTTACTGTAGATTTTCTTCAACTTTACAGGAGACCATTATCCTTAAAGCTGTCAGCTCCAGTCAAAGTCTCTCTTGGAAGTTCCAAAGGGCCTACCTTTTCCTTCCTGAAAAACCCAACCTGTGGTGGTTTGACTTAAAAAAAACCACACTTCTTAAACAGATGTGGACTTCAGATACAATGAGCAATGCAAAGAACTGGCTTGGACTTGGTGTGTCCTTATATTTTTGGGGGCTGATGGACCTTACTACACTTGCACTGTCTGGAAGTGCCAGGCCACTCACCAAAAGCCAGGAAGATAACTTGTCAGACAAGCTGCTACTGCACCAGCGAATGAAGAGGAGCTGGGTCTGGAACCAGTTCTTTGTTCTTGAAGAATACACTGGAACCGATCCATTATATGTTGGCAAGGTAAGAACTATAAAATCAGAGGGAGCGGGGATATCGAATACAGAGAGTGTGAAATGTAACAAAACATGAAGTTTCCTCAAGTACCTATTTATACTTTTCTGCTGGCAATGAATCTGTCCACATTTAATTTTCTTCGGCTCCGGAGAGCTTTTGACTGGTGTCACCATGAACTTGGAAGAATGTCTGTTTCAAGAAGGTATCAATGTGTTTGCCTATTACAGAAAGATCCACTGTAACAATTATCAATGTAATTGGGATAGCAGTATAAAAATCTGCAACAGTCTTTCTAGGGACCACTACAATGCCAAGGCAAAGTAAGGTTATATTGACATTTGAGGATTAGGGAAGAAAGAGAGAGCTTTGTGATCATGCTACTGTCTGTGATCAAATTTGGTGTTAAATTTGAAATCTGCAATCAAATAAGAATAACCAGTGGCTTTTGAAAAGGAAGACTTCAAATGATTTTCTGTAAGCTTCTGGGGTCTGAGTCTCCTCTTATGTATACTGGTTTTAACACAGAGTAATTATATTGACTGAAATGCAGCTAATACCTGATTTATACTAGTAGAGAATAGGTCCTTAAATTCAAAGATACAGAACCTGATTCTCCATTAACCTGCACTTTTTTAATCTATTCCACCAGTTCAAAGCCAATGTAAAGCAGATGTAAAATGCTATTAAATCCACCTAATAGTATTTTGCACTCTGCAATGGTGCATGTGGATACACAAAGCTACAGGCTAATAGAGAAACAAGCCTGAGATGTTTTGAGTCACCGTTTACCTTTTGTCACACACTATAACCTACCCTTTCTGATCCATTTTCCCATTGCTTATCAAGACTGTGAGGTGGATGAAATAATTTTGACCCTGATATTTTAGAAGTTTCAGCAACTACCTTGCTTCCAACATACATTGATTGCAGTTGTAATTATAGCTTGAACAATAGTTACGGTTTCCACACATGAAGATGATCAGATTCAAGTTATGAGCACCAAAAAATACAAATAAATATGATACATTAATAGATGGTAAGTATACAAATATAAAGATTATCTTAGATTACATTATCTTTTTTACCCACATCATGATGTTTTGACATTCTGTATTAGGAACTAGTGAAAATCACACATCTGTGGTTCATTCTTTTCTTCTAAGTGGTGCATATTAGCAAATAAAATTTCAAAAGCTGAGGGGCCTGCTTTTGAATTAATTTATAACTCTGTACGGCTGTCAGTTACACTGGCGGAAAATCAAAATAATTTCACTAGCTTCAGCAGAGTTTTTCCTGATTAGCTGTTAGTCTGACAAACACCAAAGGCAGTCCCATTGACTTCTCTGTATTGACACTGGCATAAATGAACCCAGCTTGAATGTCTCATCATTTTGGATTCTTCATGCTGCCTAACTTTTCTGTTCTTCAGTTCCATTTCTCTTGGAGTATAAAGAGTTAATATTTAATTCCTCTGCAAATCTTTGTTGAAGAATAGGGGACTTTTTTTTTCTCAGATACACCAGTGCATCATGAAGTTATTTCAGATCTGCACTGGACAGTTGGAGCAGAATATGGGTGTACATGAATATATAAAACTAGTTAATATTTTTTTTTGGGGGGTGGAGTGGGGAGGGAACAGGTTGTGTAATCCACTGCATAAATGTATTTAAATGTAAAAAATTGCAGGCAAAATCCTCAGAGTTCCCATTCAGCACATCTGAGGAAACTGTGGCAAGGATAACTCTGTGTCACCTTCCTTTCTGCATTTATCTTAGGATCTGTTCTTGACACAACTCACTGGAGACGCGGGGCTACTCCAATGTGTGCCCTACACATTGGCCCCCCCTTTATCTTTCTGGTGGCCAGGGATTGCTGCAGTACACATATTTTGGCAACACTCTCTCCCTAAAGGAAGGGGGAAGAGTTCAATGCAAAAAGATGGTTATATTGACTTATATCATGAAGAATTCCCGGTAACAGGGAAATCCCTTGGCTGCTGCTTTAGAGCAGTGTTCTAGTCTCCTTTGAGCCACTGGAGCAGCACTGACGAGACTTAACTTACACTGTGGATTGTGTTTTCTATGGAAAATGTGCCTTATAGTTAACTGAGAATTATAGAGAAAGTATCTTTTGGGCGAGAAAAGGAAAAGATTCTCCCAGGCTTTAGTCAGCATATTACTTACTGTTTTCTCTGTTGCTTGAAGTTGTCATTTAGGGTGTGTCTACACAGCACCCATAGCTCAAAATACGCTACACAATTTCAGCTATGCAAATTGCAAACCTTATCTCAAGTCAATTTTGAAATAGCTTATTTTGTTATTTGGCACTGTCTACACAGAGCCAAATTTTGAAATAACCTGCTATTCCAAAATATCCCTTACTCTTTGTGGAATGAAGTTTACAGGGACCTCAGAAAAGCGAATCCATTATATTTTGAAATAATGGGCTTGCTGTTAAGATGCGGGATAGCTATTTGGTACCTCTGGAATCCCGAAATAGCGTTGCGGTGTAGATGTAGCCTTAGAGGTTAATTTCAAAGTGTTAAATAATGTTTTAACTGCATGACTCCCATTAAAGTTAGATAGAGGTTAGTGGCCAGTGTGATCAATTAGGCTCACAAAAACGCATCTTCAGTGTCAGGTTTTTTCTCACTTCATCCAGCAGCCTAGACTGCTCTAGCATTTGAACTCTGATTCTAGAGGAGTTTAAGGTTTGCTTCTTTGCATGTACTACTGCTCCCCACCCCTGTGCTAGAAATTAAGAGGTATTTGAGCCTGACAGCTGAACAAATGTAGAAGGGAGTGGCCAGGTCACAAGATACTCTCACTTTGTGATCCAGTGCATCAACACAGCACAATTACAGTTCCTCCCAGAGCCCCTGTACACACTAGCCTCCCTCAAAGAGATGGAAGGGGCAGGGAGGTTTTAAGGCATGTTCCAATATAATGGATCTGGACAGGCGCATAAGAGAACGCACACTATGCTCTCTGAGGCATGGTTCCTTGCCTTAAATATTTCCAGAGATGATTTCTCACTGCTACATATGTTGGGTTATCAGTGAGCTTCCCAATAGGTTTTACCATCCTGCCCAAAGGAGGTTACTCAGACTTTCAAAGGAGGTTAGTTCATGCTTTCTCAGGGACAACCTGCTTCATCCCTCTGACACCTCATCTTTTACTATGTCGAGAAAAATCCAAATAAATTCCTCCCCACTCCAAGCCTGCCACATGGCTGCATCATGATGCAGTAACCATAGGGCCGTCCCAACATATAGCTAGATTTTCTTTCCTTTACAGTCACTGCTACACTGTATACACCTATTTGTAAAACTGCAGTGTTAGAGGATTTGGTTTGTTACTGCCGTAATTTGAGCATCCAACTCTGCAATGATGAAATCTATTAGATTTTTATTATAGCCCGGAATGATAGGACCTTTGCTTTAGAAATGCAAAACACGTTGCTGAAGAAATCTCAGTTTCTTCCCACTTTTCCCCCAACACACACAATTCATTTTTATGCTCTTCCTCTTTGCTCTGTCTGGAAACAATAGGATACGTGATAAGTAATACTAACAGCTGTTTTGCAGCATAACAGCTAGCCTGCTTGGGACACAGTACTTTTAACACACAACTGTAGAGTAAGAAGCACCCTATTATCCTAACATTGTTATTAATTTTCCAAATTTAAACCACTGATTTCAGATAGGATTGTGTAGAGTAGTTATAATTTAGCAGTGAATTGACTCAGTCTATTTTTCAAGTCTCTTGAACATTGCAGTGCAGTTTCCTATGTCTCATTTTATTTACTATTTAATTATGTATCTTATTAATACACCAGCAACATCTCTTTTTCTCTGCCATATCTTTACTATCCCAATCCATTGTGAGAGCTGCACCTACTCATGAGGTCGTGCTCAGTCACTAACCCACAATGCCAAACACCTTAAAAGAGTAGGAAGTGGCTAAGTAGCTCAGAATCAAATTTTCCTTCTCCTGGAAAAGTCCCATTTACTAGCTCCTAGACTGATATTCTCCGAGTTACATGTTTGTTGGGCAAATGGTGATAACCAGTGTTTCTGAATTAACCACAAGATGTATTAGTTTGGAGGGTGGCATCTGTGTGACGTAATACATATAGGTCGTCTGAATTTGACTGCTCTGTTGATGCTGAATGTAACTGGTTCTCTTCTTCTCCTCCTATTTAACAGATGCGTTAGCTCTGAAATGCTAGTGTTCCAGTGCAATGTCAAGGCTCCAAGGAATATTCACCGATTCCGCAGTAGACATAGCAGAGACCAGCAGCAAAGGGGTTAAATGAAATATCAGTTATCCAGACAAATTCACCATCACCATCTGTACTGTTAGGGTTTTTTTCAGCCATTTCAGCATATAATAAAAGGCTCCAGCTGAGTTTTTAAAAAAGTCATGATTCAAAGTAAAGCCAATGGAGGATTTTTAAAATATGCTTTAATACTTTTTAAAAATATAGTAGCTACATTTTTAATATATTTTTCACATTTTGACGTGGATTAGATTCTAAACAATATCTACTGGCTCCACAATGTAATTTCAATCTCCCTTAAAGGAAAAGCTACTGATTGTTTAGAATACATAAGTTAGCTAAATAGAGATCTACCAGTTTTGTGGTGGCACTTCAATTACGGATGCAGCTTTGCTGAAACCACAGCACAATCTAGTTCTCATCTAAAATAATGTAAAATGTCTACTGAATTCTACAGGGGTAGCATCCAGGTTTGCATAGGTCACATGTGGTTCTTTGACAGATTAGGGAGAAAAATAGCCTCCAGAAAGTCACAGAATCATAGGGCCAAATCCACAGCTGAGCACAAATTGTCATACCTCAGTTAAAGCAACTTACAATAGATGAGAGTCTGGCCAATAGGAACATGAAACAGATAGGTCATATAAAGTGACTTCTTCCGTCCCCCAACAAATCTGAGAGGGTTTTGTACTGAAATCAGAGATTATTTTTCTCTATTTGTAGAATTTTTGTCAGTTTAATTTTAAATGTCCTTGAGATCAGATTCTATAATTTTCCTGAGGAGCGTATTCCATTTTATTCACTAATAAATCTCACCATTGGAACTTGGTTCCTGCTTTTCAACTTAAATTTCTTCTTTATTAATTTCATGCTATTACTCCTATTTATATCCCTTTTACTATTCTAAACAATTCCTCTATGACATTGATTTTAGGTGGTGTTCAATCCACTAGGCCAATGCTGCTCCTGTTGGTCACAATTCAGAGAGGTAGTTAAGCATCCCTCCCCATCAAAATACTTATACATGTGTAAAGTTTAAAAAGTGCCTAACTACTTTGCTGAAGCTGCGCTTTTATGCCCACCATTGTTTGTTCATCCACCAGTATTGCAAATATATTATAAAAGCAATCAGGCTTGACATACAAAAGTTATTCTTTTTCAATTCATTCTAATTATTGCTTACAATTCTATTATCTTCCAGATGCTTAGGATGTGATCTAATGTGTGTCATTGATTTCAGTTGACATTGGATCAGGCCATAAATCCCCAATCCAGCAAAGCATTTATGAATGTGCTTAAATTAAAATTAAGAGTTTTGTTTGATTTTAGTATGTGTTCTCTTATTTCACTAGGGTTAGATGTTTCGCAGAATGGCAATTACCAAGTGACTTTGTACCGGCTTTTGAAGATAATTAGTACAACATTTACTTTTCTTCTATATTAGTTTGTGTCCCTAGTTATCCGCGAATTTACCAATCACGCCGTAAATGCATTTGCTAATTCTATTTAGAATGCTGGGTGCTTTTAAAACCCACTGGCCTATGCGTTCTTAAATGTTCGAAGCTGCCTGCTTTTCCTGCTCTTTATTAATGGAGACAAAGCAAGAAAGGCAATAGCTTTTATTTCTGCTGTTTACGAGAAGTGCTCGGTGGAGCTCTAACACTCGTCTCTTTCACCAACAGGAGACTTTGTCCAATTACTGCATTCACCTTGTCTTTTTCATATCCTGGGACCCACATGGCTACAACACTGCAAGCAGCTTTCATCGTAGCTACTTTTTACCACTTGCCTCATTACCTAACTACCCAACTTTTTTGTCCATTAGAGACACTTTTTTTAAAGGTCTGCAACACAGTAATTTTGAGAAGTCATTTGTTCCATTTCACTCCTTATTCACTAATTGACAGAGAGCTTGTCTACATGGCAAGTTACTGCCCAGGAAGCCAAGCTATATCCAAAGAACTAGCTCTGCCATGACATCCCATGCAGACATGGGCACAGCACACTGGAAATCCTGCAGTGCTGCTTGGCAAAATTTTAGTATGCTGTAGAAGTGTCCATTGCTCCATGGTAAATTGGTGCACTATGAAGTCACACCCCAGCTTGCTCTACAGTAACTTGCTGTACAGAGAAGCCCTTGCGGCATTTTCTCTCTAGTCCAACATTTCTGTTGCCCATGGTCTGTTTTATAAGAAATATTCTCACTCCTTTTAATCTTCTTTACACAGTGTAAAGTCAGTTTTTTGTCCATATCTTTTCTGACACCTTAACTCAGAGGTCCCCAAACTGTGGGGTATGCCCTTTATGGAATTGCAGAAGAATGTTTAGGGCCCAGACCAGTCTCCACTGGGGGGATTAATGCAGAAAGCACTGTCCACCCCACTCTGTTCCCACCTCAGCCCCACACTTAGCTGTGCCCTAAGCCTCGGCTCCCAATCATAGTATGGCTGCAGCTCTGCTTCTGGCCCTGGCCATGTCCCCAGGCCCAGCTCTAGCCCCTTCCCCTGCGTCAGCCCATGACTGCAGCTCTGTTCTCCACCCCAGACTGCCCTCAGTTGCAGCCCCACACTTGGCCCACTTACCCCATCCTCCTCTCCTTACTCTAGAAACCATGGCCTCACTCCCTGCAGTGCTTGGGGGTAGGGGGTGAGGGTAAAGGGTGGCATGACCCTGAAAAGTTTGGTGACTACTCTCTTACATTATTGTAGGCCTTTATGTGAAGCCCATTGAAGTCAGTAAAATGACTCCCGCTGATTTCTACGAGCTTTGAATCAAGCCCCAATAGCATTCTTGTTTGGTTTCCTCCTCCTTTTTCCACAGTGCAGTTTTGAGGTTGGAACTGGATGGGAGGTTAACCTCAACTTCATGTGTCTGCAGTATACATTATTTGCATCCTTTATATTAAACAACGGCAAAGAAAAAAGTTTCTAAAACCAGTAGGTTGATTTCAACAGTGACACCAAAATGTTCTGAGCACTAATTTTCAAATCAGTGTTCACCACATACATTCCATGCTAGTATCCTGAACAGATCATGTTACATTTTGCAGCTCCATTCTGATATGGATCGAGGAGATGGATCAATCAAATACATTCTCTCAGGAGAAGGAGCTGGCATTGTATTTACGATTGATGATACTACTGGGGATATTCATGCCATTCAGAGATTGGACCGAGAGGAAAGGTCCCAATATACCCTGAGGGCTCAGGCCCTGGACAGACGGACAGGCAGGCCAATGGAACCAGAATCAGAGTTTATCATCAAAATCCAAGACATCAATGACAATGAACCCAAGTTCCTGGATGGACCTTATGTAGCCTCCGTTCCAGAAATGTCACCAGTAGGTAAGGTTGATTTAAGAACATAACTTTGATTTTGAGTAAATTATAAGAAAGCAGCAATACACCAAAATCACCCCACCCTTTTGTCCTCTGCTTTAGTTTCTTTGTTCTGCAGCTTCCGTAGAAACATCTCTAGTTACTGCAGAGCGAGTGTACTTGGTTTACTTCACCAGTTGCTGGCCCCACCAAGCACAGGAGGCATGTCAAGGGAAAGATGGGGGCAGGGAAGGGAATAACTCAGATGTACTGTGCTCTGACAAGCTGTATGTATGTAAGGGCCTCTTGGTCACCCACTATAAGCCAATGAAGGTTACAGCAACTCTGAGCCTGATCTAGCTTATATCAGAAGCTGGAACTGCCCACAGTATTAAATGTGTGCAAAGGTAACTTTAAGCCACTTTCACTCCCACTCCTTTCTGCTCCTATACCAAGCTTAGCTCAGTGGATTCAAATAGCTGACCAAATGTGTTTTATGTTGTTAGAGTGGGAATCAAGGAAGTGTGTATTGGATTTTCTGGGACTTGAGCAAGTAAAATGTCTAATAAATATGGGAGGGGGTGGGGATTTCCAAATCTGTCAATTTTTCATTTCTTTGGAAGAAACAGTTGTTTTGTGGTGACATAATACTGACCGATGATACAAAATAACTCATGGGGTGTGTGCTTTCAGGCAGGGCAGAGCACTACACAGTCTACGAGCACCACCCTCAGGCAGGGCAGAGCTCCAAACAGTCTGATTTCCTAGCTCCAGTACATAGTAGACAAATGCATGCCTCTTGCAGTAGGTGGGGAGGCTTTCACCTCTGGCATGGAGTTGGTGGCAGGGTCAGCTGGGAGACCCAGGACCACCCTACATCACAATGTCCCTGGCCAAAGCAGTAACAGTGGCAGAATTTTACTCTGCTGAGTCAGTGGGGATCTAGTTGAAACACGCTAACCTGGATGATACAGGCAACAACATAACTGGATACAGTTTGATGACTGGGCTACTTTCTTAATTACCGATATGATTTACTGTGTTGGTGTCATCCTCCATCTTCCCAGGTACATGACTGATGATAGAATCATAGAATCATAGGACTGGAAGGGACCTCGAGAGGTCATCGAGTCCAGCCCCCCGCCCTCAAGGCAGGATCAAGCTCCGTCTACACCATCCCTGACAGATGTCTATCTAACCTGTTCTTAAATATCTCCAGAGAGGGAGATTCCACCACCTCCCTTGGCAATTTATTCCAATATTTGACCACCCTGACAGTTAGGAATGTTTTCCTAATGTCCAATCTAAACCTCCCCTGCTGCACTTTAAGCCCATTACTCCTTGTCCTGTCCTCAGAAACCAAGAGAAACAAATTTTCTCCTTCCTCCTTGTGACACCCTTTTAGATATTTGAAAGCCGCTATCATGTCCCCCCTTAATCTTCTTTTTTCCAAACTGAGTTCTATCATAGCTAGGCATCTCCTTGGGGCAGTCACCTGGTCACCTGATTATGCCACTGAACCCACCTGTCTTCCTTCTGGGGCTCCCCTCCACACTGTTGTGCTGGGACAGAAACTCTGGTCTCCATCAATCAAGGCACAGAGTTGGGTAACAGCCCCCCAACTCTGGGAGGGTATGTCTACACTACCCTCCTAGTTCGAACTAGCAGGGTAATGTAGGCATACCGCACTTGCAAATGAAGCCCAGGATTTGAATCTCCCGGGCTTCATTTGCATAAGCGGGGAGCTGCCATTTTTAAAACCCCGCTGGTTCGAACCCCATGCAGCGCGGCTACACGGGGCACAAACTAGGTAGTTCGAACTAGGCTTCCTAGTTCGAACTACCGTTACTCTTCATTTCACTAGGCTTATGAATGTGAATATGCATAACTTGAAGACATTTTAGGCAAAGTGCATCATGTAACACGTTTAAAAAAGTACAGTCTGCTGAATATGTATATTCAATTTTTGTGTAGGTATCATTCTTGTATGTCAAATTAGAAATATTAAGTGGACACCTGTTTGATTAATATAGGTCTTTCAGAGAACGCCGTAAGTGGTACTTAAGAACTTAATGGCACAGTGTGCAAGGTAACAATCTGTAAATAGTTTTGTTTTTCCTGCAAGACCAAACTGTGGTTCATCTTAGAAAGATGTGACCCTACCACCTGGGGCTGGAATACACAAAAATAGAATATACATATTCAGCAGACTGTACTTTTTTAAACGTGTTACATGATGCACTTTGCCTAAAATGTCTTCAAGTTATGCATATTCACTTTCATAAGCCTAGTTTCATAAAGCAAGGGGGTGGGGGGATACATAACAACTAATGGTAATGCCAGCAATTCTTCATAGTTCTGCATAATTCTTAGGCAGCTCCAGCAAGTTCTAAGCACGCTTTGGGCTCCAGCCCCAGCAAAAGGTAGGAAGGATCTATCTCTTCCAGTAAGTCCAACCCAACTGAGCTGCAGGGCTCACATTTTATATATCTTGTCATGCCCCTCTGCTTCTGGCAGGATGGGTTTGGGTGTCCTGATGCCACCCAGCAGGAGATGGGTGAGGATTCCTTCATTTCAATCTCTGAGGAAGGCTATGTGCCCTCACTACAAGGGCACACATTCAATGGACTAAAAACTGGCTGATAGGGCTCAAAATGTAATTGTACATAGAGAATCATCATCAAACAAATTTGCTTCCAGTGAGGTCCTGCAGGGATCAGTCTGTAGCCTTATACTATGTAACATTTTTATCAATGACCTGGAAGAAAACATAAAAGCATCACTGAGAAAGTTTGTAGACAAATATTGGGGGAGTGGTACATAATGAAAAGAGTAAGTTACTGATTCAGAATGATCTGCATTGCTGATACACTGGATTCAAGTAAACAGGATGCATTTTAATTTGGCTAAATATAAATGACCTAGGAACAAAGAATGGGGGATGCAGAATGGGGAACTCTATACTGGAAAGCAGTAACTCTGAAAATGATCTGGGAGTAGGTGAGCATAATCAGCTGAATGTGAGAGCTACATGTGATACAGTGGCCAAAAGAGCTAATGTGATCCAGGGATGCATAAACAGGGGCATCTCCATTAGGAGAAATGATTTAGCGTCTATATTTGGAAGTGGTGCAACCACTGCTGGAATACGGTTTCCACAATTCAAGAAAGATACTGAAAACTTGGAAAAGATTCAGAGAAAAGCCATGAGAATGACTAAGGAATTAGGAGACATGCCTTATAGTGATTGAGTCAAAGAGCTCACTCTGTTTCTCGTAACAAAGAGGTTTGGGTTGAATTGATGACTGTCTGTAAGGATCTATTTGGAGAACAAATACTTAATAATGGGCTCTTTAGTCTAGAAAAATGATTCAATCGTTGGAAGTTGAAGCTAGACAAATACAAACTAGAAATAAGTCATTCATTTTTAACAGTTAGGGTAATTTACTACAGGGCTAGTTTACCAACACTCATGGTGGATTCGCCATCACCGACAATTTTTAAATCATAATTGAATGCTTTTCTAAAAATATGTGCTCTATGAATTATTTTGTGGAACTTTCTGTGGTCTATGTTAGACTAGAGATCAGAGTAGGCTGGTTTTGGCCTTGCAATCCATTAATCTATTAGATTATTTATTATGCATTAAAGCTGGTTACACCTGTATTCTTTCTTTCCAGCTGTGAAATTAATAAGGTCTGATCTGTTTGGGTTTTTTTCAGGCACCTCTGTTATCCAGGTGACTGCAACAGATGCTGATGATCCAACTTACGGGAACAGTGCCAGAGTAGTCTACAGTATTCTCCAGGGGCAACCATATTTCTCTGTGGATTCCAGAACAGGTATTTTATTTCAACAAGGAATCAACCTAGTAGTATGACTTCTCCTAGTTTTCATTCACTATGCACCACATTATTCCTCAAGAAAAACCCCATGAGTGTTAAACACCAGATGGACACAGAAAAACACCAGATGGACACAAGAGAACAAAACTATTGGGGCAGAAAGAGAGTTAAAAAGACAAAACATGCTCCCCAAGTCTTATTTCTGTATATAAAAGCCAGCCTACAACAGTTTTATGTTGGAAGTTAAGTGTCATTGTAATAGAGTTCTTCAGAGCAAGAATGTGCTCTCTGTAGTAGCATAGTCATCTATATTTCCAAATTCTGCGTTACTGGAGTTGGGTTTATTCTGTGCTGTTACTATTCTTGTGGGCTATCATTTCAATAAAGTCTTTTAGATCTGGTTATTCACAAATGTAGGTGTAAAAAAATCTTTTAAGAAAGTACAAGCAAGCAAATGCAGTTATCTGGAGTAGTTCTACCGAAGGGCATATTTATTAGTAGCCCTAGGTTCATGTACAGGACACTATCTGCATATAACATAACCAAAATGTCTGTCCTAGGAGGAATCTTACATTTTTGACAATTCCCAGAGGCCAACTATAGTGTTAAGGTCAGAAACTCATGAGAGAATATTTATTGTTAAACCCTTGGGGAATAAAATAAAAAGAAATGGAATATAACTCACTTTTGAAAGTTATCAGTATATGACACATGCCCATTATCCATAAACCATAGAATGAGTAAGCCTTAATCATTATTATTTTCAGATACTTAAGGATTTCTAAGAGGGTGATGTGAGGGCATGTGCTGTATAAAGGGGCAGAGAGAGGACACAGTCTATAAAGTATTCAAACACACAGGGCCATTTTGCAAAGATGCTAAGCACTTTCACATTCCAGTAGGAATTGAAGATCCTCAGCACTTAATAGGCAGTGTTCAATTTCTTGCAGAATCAGGCTCATAAAAACTGCAGGTGGCAACATTTAAACAGTGCACTTGTGAATTGTTTGCATTACTCTCTATTTCTTCCTTAGTATACAGGATGATAGTTGCCACTGCAGTATCATTTTGCTGCTGTTTTGTTAAGCCTCACACATTGTGTGTCTACTAAAAGTAACGACTAAAACACGCCTTTGTTTCTCAGGGTTATTGAACATAGTCATTGGAATGGAAGAATTCAGGAAGGGCAATCAGGTATTAAAAAAATGAAAAAAGAAAAATCAGCCAATAGACCTTAGGTCTTAAAAAAGAGGAAGGGGGGTGATGAGGTGGGGATGAAAATAGCCTAAATAAATAAGAGGTTACACTACCAGAATCCCTGAGGCAGTAGACACAGAGAGCCAAGGAAGAATTATCTAAAAGTCCAGAGAGCTATAGCCTTGAGTTTCTGCTTTTATAACCAAAAGCACAAGTCTGCTTTAGTGAGTCAGCAAAGGCAGTAATTGCATCTGATGGCTCTTTGCAGACTCTATCAGAGAAGTACTGCTGCCACCTCATGTTCTTTTTCAGTAATGTTACCATAAAACAGACTGCATTGAACTGTGATTTTTTTTGCGTGATTACCAATAGCAATTTCTGTGCTCCACAACCCTGAGGTGTACATTACAAAATAAATGATGTATCTTTTTAATAGAATATCCATAGGAGACAAAATAGAGACTGAGGGCTATATTTTGTTCTCATTTACATTGGAGTTGATGTAGATTAAGTACATTGGCTTCATTTGAATCGCTCTACATCTACACTGGTGTGATTGAGAGCAGAGTGTGGCCCCGTTCTTTTAAATTAGGAGCAATAGTGTGTGGTTATATTTTATTAAAACTAGCTCTATCTTATTTCAAGTATTGTTCAGACAGAATTTCTTTTGTGTCCTAAAACCTTTTGAAAAAAAATCTTACAGGCTTAATTAGGACAGCTCTAATGAACATGGACAGAGAAGCAAAAGATTATTATGAAGTTATTATCCAGGCCAAGGATATGGGTGGACAGCTGGGAGGGTTAGCTGGGACAACCACAGTCAACATCACCCTCTCTGATGTCAATGACAATCCACCCAGATTTCCACAGAGTGAGTATCTGCTGAATTACAATGTTGCTGAAGAGGGAAGATGGGTTGGAATACTTGCATGATGAATATCTGCACCTACTTTGACCTTTTCAAATTGAATCAATCTATGGCTATAGGAGAGTGCAAAACAATTTTCCCATCCCACTGCAAGTTTTTTAAAAATTACAGTCTCAAAACAGGCTGCAAAATCAAAATCTCAAAAAAATTCTGAAAGCAGATCATCCAAAACAAATATCAAATCTTCTTGTTATTTCAATAAATTCAAAACATGTGAAAAGATTTTTCAAATTGGAAAACCAGTTTTAGTTTAGACAAACTGATATTTTCCAAGCCAAAAAAGAAATCTTGACCAATTATGTTATGTCCTTGACCTCTTTTTTACATGTATGGTTTTATTTTCTTTTTAAATTTAGGATATCCAAGGCTTCCATTTATCCCTAGATCAGATACTGCAAGCTTTTCCCAAGCATGTTTCCATATACTGATATTTTTCCTCATTCTTAGCATGGAAGTATGTCTGTTTCCAGGGGGTTGGGAAAGAAGACAGAAAGTTATTTAATCCAGCAATTCAATTTAGCCTCTCCTTTTTATGAAAAAAATAGTATGTTATTTTTGAAGAAAAAGTATGGAACAGTTTTGCATGCAAATTTCCCCAGTAAAAGTCAAAGTGAACTCACCAAAATATATTTAAATTCTAAGGCAAATAATGCTCTGAGTTACTCCAGTGTAAATCTGATTTCAGAAACTTTTGTTTGGATTTACACTAGTGTTACCCAAGGCAAGATTTAGCCAATTATGCTACCTCCTAATAGCCTGAATCTAAGCAAAGTCCACTGAAGTCAATGGAAAGACTCCCTTTAACTTCAGAGGGCTTGAGCAATGTACATATTTTCTTAGACTAACAGCTGATAACTCCAGTTATTTATAATATTGTCAACACTTTTGTCTGTTCCTTTTTTTCCCCTCTTCCCCTTTACATACTCTGCTTTGCTAAAACTGAATTCAGCTGAAGGCACCCTCCAGCAAAACCATCATTGTATTTTGCTTTTTATTTTCTTCCTTTTCTTCCCCTTCTTCCTTGATACGTGTCATTGAATCCATTTTTATTTTTAAAACAACATCAGGAAAAATGGTAATAAAGGGCATCAGGCCCCATCACTCATGCTGTCCTTTAGAACAGCACTACATGAACAATCTAGTTGAGAGACTGTTCAAGCATGGAGCTGAGCTAGCTTGGCAGGTAATACCATAAGCACAGTATTAGTGCTTTTCTTTTTTTAAAAAAACTACTTTATTAAATTGAAGTTTTCTCTTTCCCCAGGCCTGCTTTTAAAGCAAATCAGTTATGCACTAACTCTGCTCTCATTTCATTTTGAGTTGCAGTTGGAAGCACTGGTATTTTGATGAGAGTCACTTAAATATGCCCTAACAGGCAGATTACTGAAACTGAGCGAGGCAAATCCAAATTAGCAATGGCTTCCTAAATGGGGATGACCTTTTGCTTTTCAGCCTGGAAAAAAAGCACCTGGCCCTCTCTTCAGACTGCAGGATTTGACGACTCTGGCCAGTCCTCTGAATTCCTGTACAGTTTTTATTCCAGTCATGTGTTTTTCCCTTCCACTTCTCTTGCCAGAACATTATCAGATGAGTGTGCTGGAGTCCGCTCCAGTCAGCTCCACAGTGGGTCGTATTGTTGCTAAAGACCTGGATGAAGGCATTAATGCTGAAATGAAATACAGTTTTGTGGATGGAGATGGACTGGATGTCTTTGACATTAGCACTGATCCTAATTACCAAGTTGGCATAATAACTGTGAGAAAGGTAGTACGTTTTCTTTTTATTTCCACTTATACAGCTAGCAGTTCTGGTTACATTTCATTGGTGCGATATTCTGTAATGGCTGCTATAACTTGGTTCCCATTACATTACATGATAAAACTTATTTCCTGTTATGAAACACCATTTCTTTAACAGTCTTTGCTAAAATATGAAAGCAGGTTATATTCTCGAGAGGAAAAGAACCTAAAGAATATATAGTGATACAAATAAATATGTATTATATTGTCTTTTCCCACCAGAAAAACGTCCCAGTTCACTATTTATTCATGTAAATAACATTTGTAGCTTAATTACACAACAGAGAGAGAGATCTGATCAATATTTGCTTTTTTACTGAAGACATTTTTCATGCTAGTGTCCCATATACAATAATAAAGCAAGTCAAAGAATTATTTATAAACCAATAAAAACCAGGAAGTTCCATGAACACTAATTAGGTTAATGGAAACTATGAAATTGCTAATATTTTGTACTAGTGGTTACACAGAAAGGAATATAATATTTTGTTCAGAGTTTCTCCTGGAGGATATTTATTCTCCAATTTAATGTTAGCAGTTGAACTCTCTTTCAAGATTATGATGCTGTTATACTTTTTCCTAAGCATATCTAATGCATTGATAAATGAAACTTGTTCTCTGTTTAAATAACTGGAGCCAAAATCATCCACTAAAATAGAGCAACACAAAGGATGGATTTGAACCTCTTTTCCAAATTACTGTACCTCTTTCAGGAGTGTCTTGTGTCCCCAAGTTTCACTTAACTTAAAAACTACTTACTTACAAAATCTGACATAACACAAAAGTATCACAGCACACTATTACTGAAAAATTGCTTTCTTTCTCATTTTTACTATAATTACAAAATACATTGATTGGAATGTAAATATTGTGTATATGTTTCAGAGTGTGGTGTCTATAGAGCATTATAAACAAGTCACTGTATGAAATTTTAGTTTGTACAGACTTCGCTAGTACTTTTTATGTAGCCTGTTGTAGCTGGATGTAGCTTATGTAGCTGGATAAGTTGATGCACATGCACACACGCACAGGACCTCTGGGTACTACCCAGTTGCGAACCAATACTCTAGCTCTTTTGGTCAGGATTCAGCAAAGTATTTAATCAAGTGTTTAAGCATAAGTATGCAGTACTATGAAAGATTCAACATAGAACATACCAAATGAGAAAAATATCTAATACCAACACAATCAAGTAGACCTCACTGTAGACTACTAGAGGTGTGTATGTTTGTAAAACTCTGTATGTACCCATGGCATCTGAGAAGATTATTTACTTGTTTATAGCCACGCTCCAGACTGTGGAAAAGTTCTCATTTAGATCAAGATTTCAAACTCTCAAGGACACAGAAGTGATTAACTGTGTGTGTTGCTTCTGACCATTGTAGAGCTGCAAAGTTTGTATCCAGAATGCAGCTCTTTTAATTTTGTTTTGGACCTATCTTTAATAACCAAAATGTGGTCAGTATATTAACAACAAAGAATTTAGATATCCTGTCACACTATTAACAGATTCAGTCTAACATATTTGTAGTGCAACCTAAACAGTGGAGTCAATTAAACAGGAATTTCATGAGGCCAAATGAGTCCAGCATCTGAGGTAAAAGTTTGAGAGTAATAAAAATCCAAAACTGTTGTAATGCAGACAGCCAATGATGCATGCAGCTACACTGAACAAGTCACTTAAACCCCTAGTGCATCAACCCAGCTGTAAAACTGGATTAAAAAGTCACTGTGGATAAATTTCAGAAAGCCTGGAGTCAAGTTCATTCCAGATAATTTCTCAGATGTTTTAAAATTGATCTGAACTTTTTTATCTATAAAACTGATCTGGAAATTAATTTAAAACAGACATCCTTTCTGGCCCTACGACATCACTGAAAACCAGATGATTCATATGAACAGAGAAGAGGGTCAAATCTATAGTCCTACTTAGACCTTTATTTGGCAAAATTATTATCGGCTTCAACTGGAGTTTTGTCAAATGAAGACTATGACCAGGCCTGAGTAACCAGCTACTTGATACAACAGTGATGAGCAGCAATTAAATAAATAGTGGATCAAATTTTTTGAAACAGAAATATTTTAAATTGGAAAAAAAAACTTTTATCGAAATTAAAAATTTTCACCAAATAGTACATGCATCTGACGAAGTGGGTCTTTGCCCACGAAAGCTTATGCTCCTACACTTCATTTAGTCTATAAGGTGCTACAGGACTCCTCGCCGCTTTTGCAGATTCAGACTAACACGACTACCCCTCTGATACTTGACACCAAATAGTTGTTTTCTTTAAATCTATCCAGCAACCTTATATGAACATCAAAGCCTGTTAGCAGGGCTAGATTAAGACATTCTGAGTCCCTACGATATGTCAAGTTTAAGAGGCCCCATAAAATTACCAGAAAAAGTATATTGTAACAAAAAAGACAAAAATAGAAATAATAAAGTTTTATATTTGTATGTATACCTATACATAGGCATACAGGAGATGTAACTAAAAACTAATAAGAAAATCTCACTGCTGCAGTGCAGACCTGGCTTTCATTTCTGGTCCTTGTCCCTCACATCCGGGTAATCAATATTTATAGTGTTTAGGCCCTTTATCCATTGTGGACTGTTCAAAATGGAAATACCCCAGTCAGGAGTGAGAGCAATGGCAAATGTTGTATGTGGAATTTACCACCCTAGTAGTAGCAATGGTAGAGGCTGTGGGATAGATAGGGTTATCACCATTTTGAGAGTCAGAATCAATGGTGTAAGTTCACAGGGTTTGCAGGACTTCTTAAGTTAGCTCTATGATACTTTGATCTAAAAGCCATCTGGGGAACTGTTTCTCACCAGTTATCTTCCCCCTGACTGCTCCTTCCCCATTGTACTTCCAACTGGCTTGCTAGTAGTCAGCAAATTATAACACTTTGTCTTTCTATAACACTTACCATCCAAAAACCTCAACACACTTCAAACGTTAATGAATTCAGCATCTCATAATGGGTGGATCTGTATTCTCCTCAGCTGGAATGTGGAACCCCTGACTCTGACTCTCCTTGTGGGAGTGGGTAGCTAATTCCAATTCCATCTACTGGCTCAGGAGAGAGTAGCAATTATAGCAAATTACTGACTTGCACCATAGTAGGGGAGAAGATAGAGTGCACAATGATCTCTGCTGCCTATGGTTTGGGGAGAAAATCTGCCATCTATGCTATACTCTCCCATATATCAACTACAACTGGCTTTCCCCTTCAAACTGTCTTGAAAACACCCAGGCCTGCTTCCTAGTTGCCCAACCCTCTTGTAACGTCACTACCCATATAATTTCCACTTGTTAGCTGTTTTCAAAAAGAAAAACAATGACAAAGATTGAAAGTCAATAGTGCTCCGAGAGGTTGGGAATGGCTATGATCTACTGCAGTCAGCTCCGCCATCATAGTGAATTAAGGCATGTTCATGATTCTAAGGATATGAAATACCATGATAAAAACCATTAAGTCCATGATTTTTACAGCACATTGTATGCCTTTGAGAACTGGGCAATTCCATGATAGGCACAAAATTTGTTATGATCAGACCCTGTATCAATTAAGGAAAATCTACGGAGCTGTTTTCCACAGTGACACTCCCTATATGTTAAGAGTTTATGAACACTTATCTATTAGAACTTCAGGGAATTAAATTTGCAGCAGGGTGCCCCATAACTTTTAACTATAACCTTGCAATGGTTTATATTGCCACCAAACTTACGAATAGCATTTGACTGGATGAACAATTTTCAATTGTTTGAAACCGGACCCTTCTTGTCGTCACTTGAGTTGTTGGGTTTTTAGTTAAATACAGGATGCTCCTGATAGGATTGCCACTTCAGGATTTATTTCCAACTAAAACTATTTAATTACCATATTAGGTATAAAGACTGATTGAGATAAATCTGTAGAAAGACACCAAAATGCAATACAACAGAGAGAACAGTTTATTCAGGAGAGCAGAAGGCTGCAGCCTAACAATGAATTCAGCAGGCTTAATGGTCCTTTTCTCTTCCTCAGCCCTTAAGTTTTGAGAGCAAGAAAAGCTACACTTTAAAAGTAGAGGGCACCAATCCCCACCTGGAAATGCGTTTCCTGAACCTGGGCCCCTTCCGAGACACCACAACTGTGCACATCAGTGTGGAGGATGTGGATGAGCCACCAGTATTTGAGCCTAGCTTCTACTTTGTGGAAGTGCCTGAAGATGTGGAGATTGGAACCACCATACAAATTATTTCTGCCAGGGATCCTGATGTGATCAACAACTCAATCAGGTTTTCATAGTTTTTTTCCCCCCCTTTTCTTGTTATCCAGAGATTTTTCTACTGTATGTCTTAGCTGGTATAAATTGAAACCTCCGTTACAGCTCTGCCCCCATATTGTATTTTAGGTAATCAACTTTTTCCCTTCTGTTTCAAAGCACATTGTTACATGCAATCTATCTTTGTCCAAAATTAAGATATACAAATGCTTTTGTAATGTACAGAGTACATGCTAGTAACATAAGCGTGAACCACTAAATTATTTATTGTGACATTCAAGCTGGTGAGCTAGATATTCCCATTAGCAATAAAAGACGATACACTACATTTACAGTCATGTGAGCTTCATGTCTACAACTCAGCTAGGAACCAAAAGAATGATCTTCATGGATTATTTCTTTCATTTCCAGAGTAGCAGCCAATGTTTTTTCAGGCTGTCTCATGTATTCATTGTTGAAATTCATGAAAGCTACAGGTTCACAGTATGTTCATAGACCAGCAGATGACACAAGTTTCTCTGCTCTATGTAAGTGGTTACTACATTGTTCCCCTCTCCCTGTACAAGCTCAGCTTCTCAGTTGCCTGGCTTCAGGATCTGGTCAGAGAAGCACAACAGAAATGCTAGATGCTGACTTGCTAGGATTTTTGAAGGAACAGTGAAATCCTGTATATGTGCTTTTATGGTCTTCACGTAGGGAACCTGACAGCCAGTTCTGCTTAGCCCTCTATTTTCACCTAGAAGTGCTCTCTCTAAGATGTAGTCTTTCCTTTAATCCTACATCATGTCAAATGTTTCTAACTCCTACCTAGATTATTAGACTATCCTTCACTCGGCTCTGTGCTTCTCATCATATGCCTTTCCTACAGTATCAATCAAACTATGTCATTCATTGCTCTCTGTGCCTTTGGGTCTTATCATTCTAATTACCATCTGGCATCATCCACACTTCGCAGTGAAAACAAGTTTGTGTACATTTGTGAAAAAAAAATTCTGTAGACATAGCAGGTAGACTTGGGCTCGTGTTTTTAATTGTAGTTTTGAGGCTATTCTAGGGCTGTTCAGCTAACTGCTTTAAAACAAACTTTTTTGGAGAAAACTACACCAGCAAGGCAAAAGCACCTATTCAAATTCAGGAGCAGTTATAAATATGCCCCAGTATTTACATATGCACATTTTCTTGCATGCATCCTTTCTTTCTTCCTGCATTGTAAATACACAGACAGAAACAAAAATTGAATGATTTAGGTAAAGAAAGAAGTAGAAATCAACTATTACTCCTCCACTGCTTTTCACCTCATTTTGGTAGTTATGACTATTCCTAATGAGAACAATGGTTTTACACCATCTTCCCATTCACTTTCTACTGGCAAAAATGACTCCATGCGGTGCATGGTTGGGGAGAATCTAGTAGTGCTAAATTTAAGGGGGAGAGGGACATACAGTCAATATACCAGAAGTGATTCCATCAGAAACTAAAAGTTGTAATTCAAAAAATTTGTCAATCAAAAATTAAACTTATTTTCAAATTTGAAAAAAAAAAGTTTCAAGAGCCAGAACAATGTTTCAGAATGGCTGATTAAACACATGGGAATGCTCAAATCACTTATTTCTGGCATCTGGACTCCAACCGTGGAAGACTGATTGCTGGAAGTATGGCTTGATTACTGCTGAGTGACTAAGGCAGATAATCTAAACAGAACAGTGGAAGTGAGCATGGAAGAATAGTTATTAATAGGAGATGGTGTACGAAGAATTCAGTACAAAGCCTCCACCTGTGCTTTGTGACATCACTGATTAATGCTGCACCACTAATCAGGCTACATTCACTTTCAGATGGTGGCTGGCCTTAAACTGTCATAAGAAAACTCTTTTAATAGACCTCATACAAGAATTATTATTACAGAAAAATATAGCAACCCTGGTGCAGATTTCTGTAATCTCAAAAATCTCTATTTAAAAATAGGGAAAGTGAGAGAAGTGGAGAAAAATTTGTTGTTTTTTTTTAAGGGGGGGGGGGGGGATTGCTTTTTCTTTCCCAGGTGCATAGGGTTAGTGTGTTGTATTCCCAGTGCTATAGCACAATGCTGTCTTAAAATCAGTCTTGCATATTTGTTTGGCTGATTGTAATTTAGAAAATAAATCAAAATTACGGACCTGATTCTGCTGTTGACGTATGTGGATAATTTATTCAATTTCAATAAGTGCACTTATTGGGCCAACAGTGATGAAAATGAATCTAACGTACAATCTAAGCAACAGTAAAAACAACAAGGAATCCTGGGGCACCTTAGAGACTAACAGATTTAAATCTGAATCTGATTTATATCTGATTTAAATGTAAATCTGTTAGTCTCTAAGGTGCCCCAGGACTCCTTGTTGTTTTTGCAGATACAGACTAACACGGCTACCCCCTGAGTCTAAGCAACAGTGCTTGGATTGGCACCAGGTGATCCCTTTTGATGGCGTGCCTATCTTAGATAGATAGCTGTACTAGATTAAACACCATATATTACAGTCTGACTAATAAAGTACTGTGTTTTAAGTCTGCATATCAGCAACCTCCCAAGGAAAGAAAGAAAAACAGTTTACTTCAGTCTTTAATTTAGTGTGAAAATTAAAGGTATTTTTCACCTGCAGAATGATTTTGAGGGGACAGATGAACTGCCTCCATGGTGGTGGGTGGATAGTATAGCCAGGAGCAGGCATCGTATCTCCAGGTGCACTGGGGACTCTTTGCTACAGCTTCACACATGAGGTGTCTTTTACTCTATCAGCACCAGGCAGCTGCCACTTACTTGGGAACAGAGGTTGAACAGTGACGGCCATGCTGCCAGCCCATAGAAACACTTCCCCCTCCTAGGCTATGTCTTCGCTTCTTGGGCAAAAAGCCTTTTGTGCAAGAGTTTTTGTGCAAAAATGTCTTGCACAAGAGCACATCCACACCTCAAAGCATATCGTAAAAGCAATGTGCTTTTGCACAAGAGAGCGTTCACACTGCATGGACGCTCTTGCACAAGAAAGCTCTAATGGCCATTCCGTGAATTGCCATCAGAGCACCTGCGCTTTTTCTCTGGAGCATCCACACCTGCCTTTTTGCGCAAGAACGCTTGAGCAAAAGGGAGTTATGCCTGATAAAAGGAGGTTTACCTATGTCGGAAAAAGCCCTCTGTTCTGCCATTTTACTCACTCATGATTTTCTTGCGCAAAAGCACACTTGAGGTGTGGCCGCTTCATGAGTTTTTGCGCAAAAACAGCTGGTTTTGTGCAGAAACCTTGTAGTGTGGATGTAGCCATCGAGTATTTGGTGCTGCAGCCTCTACTTGCATAGAGAAAGGATTTCAGTCATGTAATTGGAGTGCCAGGGAAGGAGAAGAGCTTCCTCTGTCCTTCCTAACCACTAGTATGCTCTAGATGAAACTATTTTTATATGAATAAACATAGTATCATAGTTTAATAAAAGGGCCCAATCCTGACTGACTTCTGCACCTATATTCCCATTGCCATCTGAGAGTTTTGGGTGTGCAGATAAACGGCAATATGTCCACCTGTAGTAAATACATGTCAGCCAGCAGAAGGATTGTCCCAATGTTTCATTAAGGGTGATCACTGTGGATCAAATGTTTTCATTTAAAAAAATGCCAAAATGGATAATGTCAAACCATTCTTCTCACCACAGAGAGAGGCATTCCAGTGCTTATTCCTGACATTCAAACTAACACGGTTACTAAGGAGCACATTCTCCTGTTCCATGGATGCTTTTTTAGTAATATCGAAGTGTTTTGTAGCAGCATAGCTTATTCCTGTATAGGAAACGCACCTTTATCCCAGTAAGAATTATATTGGAAAAGCTACCTCAGTAACAGACTTCCACCCTGAACTATTTAATTAGCCTGTACAACTTTCAGGCTGTAGTCTGTGGTGAATTATGCATTGCACTCCCCACCCTCAAACTTCAAATTAGTGCTCTCTGTGAAATAATGCCAACACTGAACCACTTATCAGTTAATGAATGCTCTAATCCTTACATAGCAAAGTCAATGGGAACCTGAGTAGACGAATGCAGTTATTTTCTATATAACAGTTGGTAAGCTATGTTAAGGCTCAAAACTAGGTCACTAGGCAACAAAATTGCAGATGAAATTCAATGTTGATAAATGCAAAGTAATGCACATTGGAAAACATAATCTTCACTACATACACAAAATGACTGAGTATCAATTAGTTGTCACCACTCAAGAAAAAAGTATCAGTCACTAAAAATATCCACTCAATGTGCAGTGGCAGTCAAAAAAAGCTAATGATGTTGGGAATCATTAGATAATAATACAACGTCATACTGTCTCTACATAAGTCCATTGTACGCTGACATCTTGAATACTGAATACAGATGTGGTCATCTGTATTTGAATTGGGAAAAGTACAAAAAAAGAGCAACAAAAATTATTAGGAGTATGGAACAGCTTCTCTATGAGCAGAGACTAATACAACTGGGACTTTTCAGCTTGGAAAAGAGATGAAAAGGGGGGATATGATAGAGGCCAATAAAATCATGACTAGTATGGAGAAAGTAAATAAAGAAGTGTGATTTACTCCTCATAACACAAGAACAAGAGGGTCACCAACAGAAATTAAAAGGCAGCAGGTTTAAAAACAAACAAAATAAAGTATTTCTTTACATAATGCACAGTCAATCTGTGGGGCTCTTTGACCAAGGTTGTTGTGAAGGCCAAGACTATAGTAGAACTCAATAAAGAACTAGATAAATTCATGAAGGATACATCCATTAATGGCTATTAGCCAGGATGCGCAGGGCAGGAGTGGTGCCCCTAAACTCTGCTTGTCAGGGAAACAGGAGATGGATTATCTGATTATTGCTGTGTGTTCGTTCCTTCTGGCATTGGCCACCATTGGAAGACAGGATACTGTGCTAGATGGACCATTCGTCTGACCCCAAATATCCAGTCTTAGATTCTTATGGCTGTAGCACAATGTTTCCACAAGAGTTGCATGATATTTTTAATATGTACTTTTGCAGATATTCAATTGATAGAAGCAGTGATCCTGGGAGGTTCTTTTATGTCGACATTGCAACAGGAGCTCTGATGACTGCAAGACCTCTTGACCGGGAAGACATTTCTTGGCACAATATTACTGTGCTGGCTATGGAGTTGAGTAAGTAGATGGAGATTGTAGGTAGATTAGAGATACACAGTAATAGATTAGTAATACACAGAGGCACAGTAATAGATTGATTTCAATTAAACAATACAGATTAAACAATTTGTATTAATTGAACTGGAAGTCATATCTGTTTGAATTGAACTGCACACATTACAGAGTGGATATTGCATTTTAGTTTTACACTCTTTTTGTAGAAGGATGAGATTGGAATGCTTACAATTAATTGCACAGTGTGATCTTCTCAAATCATAAGTATTCAAGTGGAGTATTGTAAAGTTCTTCTAGAAATACAATTCAGTGAGTTCTTTCTCCAGAACAACTTGTTAAAAACAGCAGCAGCGAGTATTAGAGTAGAAATCGGGGCTGATCGGGAGGATGAGATGGCTCAGGGAACCGGTAACAGGAAAAGCATTTTTTTACTTCTGGATCACTGGCTCAAATCAATCCTACGTTAGTAGAGAACAAATTTCATTATCATCTGCTTACTGCCACATCATTTCACACAAGCTACTAGAAGTGTGTGAACTGAATGTAACTACTCCAGAAGAGGTGAAATTTGCTAGGAAAAAGATGAGCCTTCTTTGCATCCCACCCACTGACTCATTCTCTGGATTGACTATAGATATAGAAGGGTCCCATTATGTTTGAAGCAAATAAAATTTCACTTTTCTGCATGTGGAGTACATTTATATTAGGCTTCTAGCTTCCAAATTGTCTGAGTTAGTATGCACTTCTGTATGTAATGGATGAATAAGGTGAAATGGGATGAGATGTAATAGTGCAAAGTTCATTTAGGGTATGTCTAGACTTCATGACTCTGGCAACAGAGGCATGTAGATTAGGCTACCCGGCATAGGAAAATGAAGCGGCAATTTAAATAAATCGCTCCTTCATTTAAATGTAAATGGCTGCTGCGCTGTCCCGATCAGCTGTTTGTCGACTCAGCGCGCTAGTCTGGATGCTCCGCGGTCGACATCAAAGGCATTTGTCGATCTCCCCGGTAAACCTCATCCTAAGACCTACCGGGGAGGTTGACAAATGCCTTTAATGTCGACTGCGGAGAGTCCAAACTAGCGCGCTGAGCCGACAAACAGCTGATCGGGACAGCGTGGCAGCCATTTAAATTTAAATGAAGCAGCAATTATTTAAATTGCTGCTTCATTTTCCTATGCCGGGTAGCCTAATCTACATGCCTCTGTCCCCAGAGGCATGTAGTCTAGACATACCCTTTGGGACTAACAAACAAAATTTTGCTATAAATTGGGCATATATCAGCTAGAAGTAACAGAGAAGAAGAAAGTATTAGTTGATTACAGGATGACTATGTACCGCCAGTGTGATACAGCTATGAAAAAGGCCAATGCAGTCCTAGGATGAATCAGGCAAGGTATTTCCAGTAGACAAAGAAGTCTTAGTACCATTATACAAAGCACTGGCAAGATCTCATCTGAAATACTATGTGCAGTTCTGGTATCTCATGGAACAGGAGCAAAGAAGGGCTTTGAGGGTGATTCAAGGTATGGAGAACCTACTTTATGGGAGGAGCTTGTTTAGCTTAATCAAAAGAAGGATGAAGGGAGATATGAATACTCTGTATAAATACGTCAGAGATAAATGCCAAGGAGCAAAAACAAATGGATATAAACTGGCCATCAACAAGTTTCTAACTATCAGAGGAATGAAGTTCTGGAACAGGTTTTCTGCTTCCCTTAGAAGGCTCACTGGCTTTAAGACTGACCCTGATGAATTTATGGAGGAGATGACTGGATGAGACCAACTACAATAGCATATAACTAATCTGTGACGGCTAGCATTAAGTATCCCCAATGCCAAATTGTGGGACAGTAGATAGAGAAGCCTCTGAATTGCTAATGAGAATTCTTTCCCAGCTGGCTGGATGTTGATATTGCTGACATGCTCAGGGTCTAACTGGTGACCATAATTTGGGGTTGGGTAGGAATTTTCCTTCAGGTCAGATTGACAGAGACCCTGGAGGCTTTTCAGCTTCCTCTACACTACAGCATGGGGCATAGCAGGTCACTTGCAGGGTTAACCTAGAGTAAATAGTGGATTCTCTGTAACTTGAAGTCTTTAAATCATGATTTGTGGACTTCAGTGACCCAGCCTCATCCACTCATCCTTGTAAATAGACCCTAACCTGTGGTTGTGTGACCTGCAGTGTCTAGTTAGAAAAGAAAATCCTCATGGTCCCTTCTGACCTTTAAAATCTATGATTTTCTATTCTTAAAAGGTAGTTGATATTATTCCGTTTATAAATTAGACATTCAAATGCCTCAGTGATACAGCTACAGAATAAAAACATATAAATGACCAGCTAGATAGTCAAATTATAGGTTAATGAAAAGTAAAATTATTTGACATATTAACTCAGTAGTGCAGACATGCCACATGCACTCAGAATATTGTACATAAAACAGTTAAGAAAATTCCAGAGTGTGTGCTAACATAATGTTAGGAATTATTAAGAGAGAGAAAGATAATAAAACAAAAATATACAGTAAAACCTGTGTTATCCGGCATGCTCGGGGATTAGGGCATTCTGGTTATCTAAAAATTCCGGTTATCTGAGGGTCCCATCAACCCAGGAAAAACCAATGGACAATAATAGTAAAACTCAGGTTTTTAATATTGGTAGTTTTATAGTGTGAGGCAGTTGGTCTCACATTTCTATTTTGAGTTAAAAATGTTTAGTACTTCTTAAATAAAAAATTGTTAAGCCAATCATGATAAACCAAGCCAGGCCTGTGTGCCTAAAGATGTGACAGTATTGTGGCCGGGGGCAATGCCGGATAACAAAGGTTTCACTGTATATTGCCGCTAGATAAATACATGATACACCTATATCTTGCATTTTGAGTGTAGATGTGGTCACCCCATCCCAAAAAAAAGATATATTGGAATTGGAAAACAATTCCAACAGAAATGGAATGGCTTCTATATGAGGAAAGATTAATAGGATTGGTCTTTTCAGCTTGGGAAAGAGACAACAAAGGGGGCATATGATTAGAGGTCTATAAAATCATGGCTAGTGTGGCGAAAGTAAATGAAGAAGTGTTATTTATTCCTTCTCATAACACAAAAACAAGAGGGCAAAGAAATTTATAGGCAGCAGTTTTGAAAAAAAAGAAAGAAAGGATTTCTTCATACAACAAATGGTCAATCTGTGAAACTCTTGTCCTTCACAACATCCTCTGGCAAAATTATAACAGGTATAAAAAAAGCTAGATAAATTCATGGAGGATAGATCCATCAGGGCTATTAGCCGAGATTGTGCTATAGCCTTAGTTTTACCAGAAGCTAGGAACAGGCAACAAGAGATGAATCAAGGATTACCCATTCTATTCATTCCATCTAACACACCTGGCATTGGTCACTGTCAGAAGAAATACTGAGCTAGGTGGACCTTTGGCTTGACCTAGTGTGACTGTTCTTATATATGCTCTACTGTATTTGAAAATATTAAATCATGCTATCAAGAGATGATATTTTTAAAATATACACAAGCAGAGTTCAAGTTCACAATTAAATCTCAACTTTTATGAACTTTTCAACAACTCATTGCTATCTTCCTCTTGTTTTTTGTATCGAGTTCTTTTTTTTTTTATGTGGGACAACTGGGTGTGGGGGACAAAAAAATACAAGGAAAAAGAAGATAATATATTCATCTTACCGACACTGGATTTGTTTGTTATTTGATCTGAAGAAATTTGCCTTCATAAATTCATCTCTCCTTCCATTTGTGAGTAACTGAGCTGATAAATTATGTGTCTTTTCATTTCCACAAAAGATGTCAAGACAATTCCATCTTTCTTTCACTGAAATTTGACTGAAAACTATCGTAAACCATTTTACATTTTTCAACCAGTGCTATAGCTGATCAAAAAATGGACATTTGTGTACAAAATATGTCAATGTCAAGCTGTTTTATATTTAAATTGTAAATTTGGAGAAAAAAATCAGAATTGCATTAAAAAAAAAGCATCAGCTCCTTGAGCCCAATGCCTTGTAAAACAAAACTAGCTGAACCACACGTTCCACCCTTAACCCTTGGCATAGTCACAGACTTTTCCATAATTTTATTTTTCTCAGAGGTTTGAAAAAGCTGAGAGTATTTGAGAAGTCAAGGTGGTTAAAATGGACATTTAACTCAATCTTGCCTACAGTATCTTCCTACAACTCTTATAATTAGAGTAATTTCACATTCAGTGCACCAAAGCTGAAAGAAAAGTTCCCTTGCCTTATTGTCAGGGAAAGCAGCAGCTTTTTCCTCTGATCATCAAGTCTCTGTAATCAGTTTGTTTGTTCTTCTTTTAGACAATCCCTCACAGATTGGCAGTGTATCAGTCACAATAAAAGTCCTGGATGTGAATGATAATGCTCCTCAGTTTTCCAAGTTCTATGAAGCTTTTATGTGTGAAAATGCAAAAGCTGGACAGGTGAGTAACCCTAATTATGTCTATGTGAGAGGAATGTTGTCTTTTACATGCAGAGACTGCAATCCATAGGCATAGCCAGTAACTAAGAAAAGGAGGAGATGGGACACAGTAGACTTGTACCACAAACAGAAGATGTTTAACCAGAACTCTGTTCAGCAGCTCTGATGCGCTTGACCCAATGTATGTCTTCACCATTTGTTTTCAAAGGAAAATACAGTACAGGACACCCTCGCAATTCCGTGTATTCACAGATCTCCTGTCTTGTCCTAGCAAGAGGGTGGCAGGGGCAGTAAGCTGTGGGGAAACTCACCTCAGCTCCCAGCCCTCCCTCCTCCGCAGTAGGTTCAGGAGTGGCAGAGAACTCACCATAGGGTCCAGGAGCCATGGCTCCCACTATTCACAAATTTCACCATTGGTGGTTGATACACAAAGACATCCACCACGAATGGCGAGAGTTTCCTGTATGCTGACAATATCATCCATTGCATCTTTCTCCTCACCTTTGATCACAAACCACTTTGCAAACTCTGATTCACCTCACTTCTGACATGAAGCCATCTTGTAGGGAACCTTGCAGCAGAAAAGCAAGTAGTATCCTGCACAGAAGCCATGACCAGAGGAAGTATAAATAAAGACCACTGCGGCAAACTCAGGTTCTAATGAAGAGCACTGTAGACTCTTTAGTACCCCTACATGACAGACAGGGACTCGGGTGGGTTTTGTGTTTTTTTTTTATTATTATTATTATTATTATTCCTGGCAGGAAGAATCTCACATATACAGTGAGTTGCATAGAACTGAAGGTATCCATCTCAGAAGGGTGAAGAACTAAGTCTGAAGAACTGCTTACTAGAGTTTTGATTATGTGACTAGAGGTAGTCTGGATATTTCTAACATAGGATTCTAGGTTCCACTTATTGATACATATGAAAATCAATAATCACTCCCCTAAAACAAGCAGTGCTGACTCCCGGCTGTCCCTTTTCTGTCTCTATCACATCCTTTATATACGGGCTCATTCATAAGAGTGTCTGTGTTCCACAATCAGGCACACAGGCTGGGCATTTGAAAGTCTGATCCTATACTCACTGATGGAAGTGGGAAATTTGTCATTGACCCCAGCAGTTGCTCAACCTAGCCCTTGGATGATGATTGCCTGGAAGCTCAAACCGGAATTGGAGGCCTAAGTTTAAGGGCACAGATCTTAAGTAAGGGAGGAAAACAGATATATACCACATTTTAGGCCTGCTCTTGGCTTTCACTAAATCTAATGCAAGCCTATTTACCCCTGTAAAGTACCCTAAAGTGACTGGACCAATTTCATTATATGATTCCCTGGAAGTCAATGAGTTTATACTAAAGATAACTTTGTACAAGTATACACAAAGAAGCCCCAGAATGGTGCAAAGAAGAAACATCACTGCTTAGATTTCTTGGGAAAATGGGCTTTCAAGTAGTGCATGAGAATTTAGACATACAGCAGCCATTAGAAATAATGTGAGTCATGTGACTAAATTGCTTTACCACTTTGAAAAGTTCCTGGAATCAGTTTTATAGTGCTATTTAAGGCTGTCCAGGCTTATCACTTCCCAATTAATGTCTTAGAAAAAAAATTGGATGCTGTGAATTCAGGTAGAAGTTTATTCCTTATCTTAAAACTCAGCACACTGTCCCTGAAAATGAGGTTGGTAATCTATTGACAATGGGCTTTCTTGTGGCATCTGATGCGTGTATTTTTGAGTATTTCAGAGCCTTGGAAAAAGGCTTGATTTAATTTGGTAATGAGGGGTGGCTTCTCTTATTTTAGCTGAGCCAATTGGCCCATCCCTAGTTTCACTGGGATTTGCATGATTGCAATGGAATAAAATGAAGTCTTGAAGGCTTGTGACTTGTCCCTCACAAGATGGTCTTGTTCAAACATGGCATTTGCTTTCACTGTTAAAGTGTAATTCTTTAAGCGGTATCTCCCTGGCAAGGCAGTGATCATTGTTTTATTCTTGTCTCCTACAGCTGATTCAGACAGTGAGTGCAGTAGACCAGGATGATCCACAGGAGGGTCAGCACTTCTACTACAGCCTGGCTCCTGAGGCAGCTAACAACCCCAACTTCACTCTAAGGGACAATCAAGGTAATCTGAGTGGACAGAGTCAGTTAGTTACACTTATTTCTATTGCCTGAGTTGGATGTGAGAGGCTTTGACTCACATTGTGCTATGAGATTGCCATCTCAAATAATGCCAAGTGACACCTGCTCCTTAAAGGCAGCGATAAAATGACATTATTTTATACACTTGAAGGTTACACAACATTTGCTTCTATATAAATATTTCCCAGTAATAGGATCTTTTCTTCAAGGATAACTGTCAGCATTGTGCAAATTCATATCTTGTGGGCATGCTGTAGGCAGATAAGATTTCAAGAGTTGGACTTGAACTGGAACTAGGAGAAAATCAGAGAAAATTATTTTGTTCTCTTTGCACCCAACATGTTTTCTTCCAGGCACAGTAAGTGAATGCTGCGCCTTCTTATTCCAGAGTCTCCATTCTTTTTTTACAGGGGAGATGCATGGCTGTGACCAGAATCCCAGAGAGCCACACTGCCATTACTCCTGTAAAGGCTCATAAAAAACCGTGACTGGCCAGCAAGAGGGATGTACCCAGTGCGGCCACCTCCACAGGGACTAAAAATATAAGTTCTGAGTAATTGGCCAGCCAGGGCAGAATTCCCCTTTGCAGCCACCTCAGTACCAGATGGCATCAGCAGCTCTGAAGCACGCACTGTACCAGAAACACTCCCTCCCCAAGTCTGCTCTGCAACATGGGCTGCGCTCCACCTAAGAAACTAAGGGCAGTCAGGCTCTGAGGCAATATTAAGGAGAGAGTCAATTACCGGTAAAAAGAGTCTCTAAAAGAGTGGCACAGAGAAAACTTTTGGTACCAGATGTGACAAAATTCCCAGCTACTGAGCGCTCTGCACCTTCCCAGCCATCGGTACTGACCATGTACCATGCACACTCTCTGCAGTACCAAGTGAACCCAGGGTAACACATGAGTTCTAGTATCCTGGAGACCTGTGGCCTTGATACCAAGGGGAAAAGAGCTACTGTGCCATCTCTAAAAGTGGCACAGGAAACTTTCAGGACCTGGTGCAAAAAAACTTTCATCTAGGGAGTGCTCTAAAAGTACCACAGACAAGTTTACCAGCACCCAGAATCACTCTTGACTCTGGGCCAGCTACCACCAATACCCCGGTCAGTGCTGCTCCTATCCAATGACAAGTCTGACAGTGGCCAGGAGGAAGTTGTGGCCCATTATCACAATACAAGGATCCACCCCACTTGCATTGAACCAACCCATAATCATGATATGGTACAACTGGGGTAACCTCATGATTGCCCCCCATTGCAAGCCTTGGGCACAACAAACGTTGCAGCCATGGAGTGGGTCTCAAGGAGAGTCTGCCAGATGGTCTCCTACAACGTGGCTGTCCTGAGCCCCTGATTCGGGTTGGAGGAAACTTTTCCTCAACAGGAAAAAGGGCTTGAACAGAAAGCTACCCCTCCAGCAAACTTCTTATCTCTATCAGATGAGGCCTCCCCATCCCATCACTAGGTGATGATCTTAAGAACTTCCCAGATCTTGCCAAGAGGGTAGCAGATGAGCTGCAGATTCCCCTTCAGGAGGTCGCAGATGCACATCACAACTTGGGGGATATTCTGCTCACCTTCTCATACAGAATTTCCCTCACAGTTAATGAAGTAATTCTAGATTCTACCAAAGTTTTCCATGGCAACAGAGACTTCCCCCCCCCCCCAAAAAAACCCAACCCCAACCTATGTCACTCAAAGCGGCAGACGTCCCCTTTCAACATTTGCAAATCAACTCCATCATTGTGGATGGGATAATGCATGAAAGAAACAACACAGCGAGAACTCCACACTTTCAAAATGGTGCTTTTTCAAAAACGTGCCATGACGCAGTTATGCAAATGAAGCACGGCATATTTAAATCTCCGCTTCATTTGCCATTTTGAAATGTCTAATTTACATCCCTCTGTTGAAAGAGGGATGTAGTCTAGACACAGCCATTGTTGCAGAAGACTTCCAGTCTGAAGGGTCCAAACTCTTTTGCGGAGTAGACAGAGTCTTCTCCCCAATCCTGGACTTAAGCTGTAGGTCAGTAAAGAAGATATACCTCTCAGCCACATAATACCCACCATGTCAGCATTTTTACAAGCCATATGGTAAAAGACTAGGGCTCAAAAATAGAAGCAATCTGCATCCCAATCCACTACCTCTCAAGCCACCTCTTCTAAGCACTTTTCAGGGAGTGATGGAAGACCTGAACAATTATATCTTGTAATCTCAGCTGCCATCTACATACCTGTCATGCCACTTCAGAAGTCACCTGGCACTATTTCACAGCAATTGAATCACCTCTGACAGATGGGTCCTCGGGTTTATTTCAAAGAGTTGTGCCATTCAATTCATGTCCCTTCCAAATCTCTTTTCCCATTCCCCCTTCAGGGACCATTCTCATAAGAACTTACTTTATCAGGAAATATATCATTTGTTATCCCATTAAACCAATCCTGGTGAAACTCAGGAGCAAGAGGATTTTTACTCTCATTATTCTCAGATCCTCAAAATGAAAGAAGGCTGGAGTCCCATTGTAGTTCCAAAGACATTAAACAAATACGGGAATGTGCCGAAGTTCAGTATTGTCACACTAGCAGCCGTTATTCCAGGGCCATTATCAGTACAGACTGCTCCACCCAGATTATTTACCAAGATTCTCCTCATTGAACTGATCAGTTTCAGCAGCGACTGACTTGGGGACGCCTGGGGCAGAGCAGCTGGGGTGCTGCTGGGTTGGTCCAGTAGCGCCGCTCCTCGGCGCTACTGGACCAACCCAGCGGCACCCCAGCTGCTCTGCCCCAGGCGTCCCCAAGTCAGTCGCTGCTGAAACTGATCAGCGGCTGATTCCAGGAAGCCTGGGGCAGGGGCTTCCTGTAGTCAGCCGCTGGCAAGTTTCAGCAGCGACTGACTTGGGGACGCCTGGGGCAGAGCAGCTGGGGTGCTGCTGGGTTGGTCCAGTAGCGCCGCTCCTCGGCGCTACTGGACCAACCCAGCGGCACCCCAGCTGCTCTGCCCCAGGCGTCCCCAAGTCAGTCGCTGCTGAAACTGATCAGTTTCAGCAGTGGCTGAATCTGGACGCCAGTTCCGACTTACATACAGATTCAACTTAAGAACAAACCTACAGTCCCTATCTTGTACGTAACCCGGGGACTGCCTGTAGTTACCCCAGTTCAGCAAAAGAGGCCGGGGACATTGAAAAATAAAGGCACCTGCCTCATCATTGGCTGTAATCTGGATACAGCACTGCTTCTTACTTGACCATGCATCTGGAAATTCATCTCCAGGCATACAGAGGAAAGTTTTGGGGGTTGATTATGAATGTAGATGGAGTATCTGCCATAGTTAACAAATGGGTTCTTTTTAAAAGGATGCAAGTAGCAAGAAGGCAAGTGACAGCAGCAGGCCAATGCTGTGTCTGTTCACCATGGTTATTTTGACCAGGGCCCAAAAATTTCCCCATGCAACATTTGGTGACCTTGTCTCTCTTTTGGAGAGGGGACATATTTTGCCAATAACGTTGAAAGCAACCTTCACTGTAACAGTTGGCAAACTAAGCTCATTGTGTTCTTGAGGCATTATACTAAAAATAGAAACTTATGAAAATTCTCAGCATAAGATGTACTTTTTTTGTCCAAGTCTGTGCTTGGTATAATTTATAGTGACAGCAGCAATGGAATAGCTGTGTCTCCTTCGCACTTTAAAAATACCCATTTTTCAGAAACCTGTATCTTAGCACTTAGGGATAGTATTGGTTATACATCTGAAATGTACATGAAGTAGTTTATGAACAAGGTTGTATGACAGGGCTGCTTGTGAGCAAGGGGCCAGCTGGCAGAGACTCGCTGCTCTGTCCTCAGCAGGGAGCTGCTGCTGTAGCTGAGGGAGAAGTGCACTTTCCCCAGCCAGGCAGCACCGTGCATGGCAGTCCTGAGCCCCTGGGCAGGGCTCATTAAGCAGCTGTGGGGCTGTGCTACCACGTAGCTCGGAGGGAACTTTGCCTCTCACCCACTTCCATCAGATATATGATAAATTATTTTTGTAGTAGTTATAAATTATAGTAATTACTTTAAGTCAATTAACACAAATTCTGGGGGTAAATTATCCCCAGTCCTCCACAGATGCATGGTGCCCTCCCTAGCCCCACAAGCCAGGGTACATAGGTGCAAGAACTAGAGATGCTGGGGATACTGCTTCACTCCCTGCCTTCAAATGGTTTTAGCTATGTACAGAGTTTATAATTTAGTTCAATGAGTCTCAGCACTCCCACTTTCCAAATTGTCCCAGCAACCCTGCCAGTGTTTGTTGTGCTCCTTGAATGTAGTGGAATACAGTGATTGCTCACTCCTAATGCCTTCAGGGGACTAATCATCGCAGCTACAGCAGGAGTGTCAAGGAGATAACCATGGCACGCTCTTGTCCACATGCCCACACAAAGCTTATCCTGCATGACATCCCGTATATTCCATCCCAGAAGATGGAGCATGGTATGTGTTCTGTTTTCCCCAAGAGCTAACTTAGGAGACAGTTCCTCTGCCAGAAATGATACAGAGCTATATCTGCCTGCACTCAGGGCTATAGCTAAATGCTACAGTCTCTCCCTCTGTGATGAGAAGAAGCTGTGTGAGGCTATAATGAGGTTAAACACTACTTGTGCTTTTCTATCACCAATATTTCATAGAACTTCTCTTTTGGGTTACGATCTAGCAGGTGTCCAACCCGGGCAACTGCTCTATTCAAATATCAGACATGCCACATCACATTCTATTATATTATGCACCCAGAAGTATTGCCTCAAATCACACTGGCATTTGATGAGATACATGACTCCACAGTATGGCACAAACGTATTGCAGTTTTAATGCAATAAGTACAGCTATTCTTTAGGGATGACCTGGATCCTTGCCTGGTATTAAGCTAAACAAAAACAAAAGGGCAACAGAAAGGCTGAGAAACACCAAAGGGAACTATATCACCATGACTGGCTAAGAGAGATATGGGAAACATATTTGCAACAATTTAAAAAAACAAAAAAAAAAAGCATACTTCAACCTTTGACTGTAAAAGTCTGTTTTTCATCCTGGACAGGAACACATAGTAGCACGACCTAGAGTTTGTCATTAATTAATGCTGCACAACTTCAGCCAAACACGTGTCTTTTACGGAAAAGTGGTTTGTTTTATGAGTAAAGTAGAACCCTCTTATAATCAGAGGCATCAACTAGGAAGAGGTAGAGATGAACATCTCCCAGTGGTTTGCAATTACTCAAGCTCTCATAAGCCACAGAGGCCAACAGATCAAGACCCAATTTTTAAGCATACTAAATTAATATAGTTGCTGCTCGTGATACCTGACGCGTCATCCCCACAGCATGACCATAGTGCTACTGAAATTTGACTCAGTTCCCCCACTGCACTGAGGGGGCAGCCAGACCAAGTTTCAGTGAGTGACATTGCAATCTAGCACAGAAAGGGCTGGCTGGGCCAAATGATACTGCAACTCAGCCCACGGGGTGTCCCTCCCGTACAGCAAAAGTACAAGGGCACCCACCAGGAACCCCTCTCATATCAGTTCCAACTCAGGCACTGTGAGGCCAAGTGAGAGGGGAGACTCCTTGGCCAAGGGAAATCAGGATACCTGAATTTCTGAAAATAATCAAGTCTCTCGTCCCACCCAAGTAACTCGACTGGGAGTGGAGGTTCATTGTCACCACAATTGTATTCAAATGTCTATTCTTGTTCACTTTAAACAGACTGTTTCTGGGTCTGTGTATGTTCTGAGAAAGGTCCCGTGTAGAGGGTGGCTCTGCAGCCAGCCAGCCCACCCCATAATTTACCTCTTTGTCTGAATGCCACAGAACTAGCTGTTGGCACAGTCAATATTCCAACAAACTGCCATTTCCTGATATTGCTTCCGTTTCTCCACCCTCTATACTACATGTGCTGCAGGAAGGGCACTGTATTAGGGTCAGTGGTCACCAACCTTTTTAACCACAAGATCACTTTTTCATTTAAGTGCAATGTAAGATCTATCTCAAACTCAAATACCTTTGCTCCACTTCCTTCCTGCCCCTTCTCTAAGGCCTCACCCTGCTCATTCCATCCCCCTTCCTCCCCATCCTCGCTCACTTTCACCAAGTTGGGGGTAGGGGTGCAGGCAGGCTCTGGTCTTGGGCCAAGGGGTTCGGAGTGTGGGAGGGGCTCGAGGCTTAGCCCAGGGGGGGGGTCCAGGAGGGGTTTCAGGGTGCAAACTCTGGGAAGGAGTTTGGGTGCAGGGGGACTCATGTCTGGATTAGGAGATTGGGTCCAGGAGGGGGTTCAGGGCTGGGGCGGGGTCAGGAAGCTCTGGCTGGGTGCCACTTAGGCGAGATGGCTTCTGGGTGGTGGAGCAGTGGGGTTCAGGCAGGTTTACTCCTGCCCTGGCCCTGCACCACTCCTGAAAGCAGCTGGCATGTACAGCAGTAGCTCCATGATGCCATGTGCTGCCCCTCATCTACAGGCACTAAGCCCACAACTTCTACTGACCATCGTTCCTTCTTATTGATCAATGGGAGCTGCAGGAGTGGTGTCTGCAGGCAGGACAGCAGGTGGAGACCCCCTGCTCTGCCTTTCTCAGGGACTGCAGGGACATGCCAGCCACTTCCAGGAGCAGCAGTTAGCACAGGGATAATGACTCCAGCCATGACAGGTTTGGCGTTTTAGAACTCACTGCTCAAAGCATTAAATGCAAGCGTAGGAGAGAAATGAAAATTATGAAAGTACAGACCAGTCACAACCAAAAATAACACACTTAGCAAACAGTAAATGGAGTAACAACAACCCCCCATGTATGTGTTGTGTTGGGAGGTGAGAGGGAAGGACAGTGTGTGTTTGTGAGAATGACAGACACACACACACACAGTGTGAGAGAGTGCCAGAGATTTGCATTGCCAAGCTCCCTCCACCCCCTTCTCTCTGTGTGGAGACAGGGTACAGGAATAGGGACACCCTGGCATCAGCACCCACCTCTTCTCCCTCCCACACCCTCCACAGAAAGCAGAAGGTTCCCTGGGGAGCAGCCCCAAGGCAGAGGGCGGGAGCAGCATGACAGGGGGTAGAAGGGCAACAGAAGGGCTAGTGCTTGATAACGTCCTGGCCAAACCAGTCAGGATCACCTGTCAGAGGATCCAAGATCTACTGGTAGATCCTGGTACTATCCCACTCCAGGTCCAGTTCCATACAGATCTCAAAAAAAGTTGCCGTCATCATCCTGAAATTCTCTCACCAAATCTGATTGCCCAGCTTCTCAGAATGATCCTTTCCCACCAGTCCATGCTAGCTTCCCAAGCACAGAAACAACACCACTTCAGGACCTGCTTCAAACCTATCAGTTGCTCGCTGACCTCCTCCTCTTCTTCTCCATCCTTCTTCCTCTACCTCTGAAAGTGCTGCAACCATGTAATTTGCTTGGTGATATGGAAGGTGAAGTCCAACCCCACGTCATCCAGCTTTCTGTGCTGAAATAGAGGGCTAATAACTTCTGTATGCTTGCAGTTGCCAAGTCTATGCCTGCTGACAGCAATTCAAAAAAAGAAAGGAAGCAGGAGGAGGAGAGAATGGAATAATAGGATTTTTTTAAAAACATTTTATTTCTCAGGCTTCTGGAATGCATACCACAATTCACAGAATGAAAAAATCCCAGAACATACACTACTCAGCAGTAAAGCAAAGGACCACAGGCCTTTGCTTATTGCTCATCAAGCCGCCACTTTGCGTGCACAATGATTCGAATTGAAAGAGGCACTACCAGCCTGCGTGCATGCCATTAGTGCAACTCATGTCCTGCAAGATAAATCGTAAATACCAAATCAATCCCCACCCCTTCACTCTGTGTAGACAAGCCCAGAGATAGCACAGAATTCCTCTTCGCCAATTTAGTGCTGACAAGATCAGCGCTGACTTCTCCAGGAAGTCCTTGCAGATTTTCAGAGCCACGAAGAGTGGCTGCCTGAACTCTTAGGGTACATCTACACAGCAGGGTTAAAGTCAAATTAAGCTGCGCAATTTCAGCTACGTCAATTGCATAGCATAAAGCGAAATAGCTAAATTCAGCTTTTGGCACTGTCTACACAGCAGGAAGTTGAAGGAAGAACACTATTCCTTCAGCTTCCCTTACTCCTTGTGAAATGAGGGTTATCATGAGTCGGAGTAAGAAGTCCTCCAGCTTGACATAATTTCGAAATAAAACTTGTCGTGTAGACGTGCCACGTGTTATTGCGGAACATCAGTTACTCCGAAATAGTGCTGTTTTGTAGCAGTGGCATAACGAGTAGGGATGGGGGGCACAGTTGTCCCTGGGCACCACGCTGGGGGGGGGGAGGGCAATTTAGTCCCCCTCCACTCCCCTGTCATCCCTCAGCTCGCCCGCTCCGCCTCTGCCCGCCCCTGCCAGCTGGAGCTTCTTCCCCACCTCTCCACCCCTGGCCCAACCCTCCTCCATCTCCGCCGGCGGCTTAGTGCGTGCAGGAGCCCAGCCCCAAACTGGAGGGGGCGGAGGAAGACACGGTCCAAACTCCCACACCACTCCCGTCGGGTTCTAGCTCAGCGGCGGCAGAGGAGAGGGTGCAAATTTTGCCTTTGCCCCCAGGCACATAACACCATCGTTACATTTCCTCTGAGTAAATGTACCCTTACTCTTCTGATCAGCCATTCCCACTGTACTGAGGAACTCCGGACTATGTGAAAATTGTAGTGTGATATGTTTTCATTAGAGATGGTTGAGAACTGGAAATTCTGCCATTCAGGAGAGTCTAATATTTTGGCAGGGGATGAGGGAGAAATTGTTAATCAAAAGTTGACATTTTAAAATGTCCTGTGAAATAATCCAAAAATGTTTGAATTGAGACCATCTAATTGTTTCATTTCCATTATGTTGAAGTGTTTTATTTCAGCTTTGTTTTCATGCATTTAGTTCTGATATATAATTAATATTTTTGTAATATACAACATGGCATTTATATATTTTAAAATGAAATATATAATTTAAAATGAAATGTTTTGTTTTGACAATGTCATACATCTCCACCTTTTCCCCATCTAAAGTTTTGTTAAAATAGACATGTTCCTGCCAAACATTTTAATTTTGATTAAACTGAGAGTTGGGGGGGGGGGTTATTTGTTTGTTTTTTGGGTGTGTGGAAAGCCAAAAAAGAATTCCTTCCTGCCTCCAACTCCCAACCAATGAGGCACTGAAAGAAACTTATTTGGGCTTCTTTTATCCTTTTGGTGTCCCCAGTGGATTGTTTATATATCCCAGAATGATTGAGTCACCTGATATTAGAGGACTTTCAGATGAAGGAAAAATAAGAGAACACTGCATTTCCACAAGGGATTCACAAACTAGTTTCCACAGAATTTGCACTGGAAGCACAAAAAAACCAAGACCTAGAAAAGCTGCTGAGCAGGAACAAACAGGGACAACAAGTTGCCCTCGACTGTTCATTTCTATCTTGCTTTCTGAGAGATATTTCACCAAGATCTGAAGGCTGAGTTTGCTCTAGGCAGTTAGTGTCACAAAGGGTAAGAGAGTCGCATAAGGTGTATGCCTTGCAGGTCTATATGTTTTAGCCTAAAAACATATTAGAGTTAGTATAGGAGGATGAGGCAAAATGCTGATTAGTGACAAACTGGTGAAAAGCAAAGAAAACAGGGAGAGGACATCACAGATGTGTGTAATGTTTTTTTTAACCTTCATTTCCAGCTGAAAATGTTTATATCATAGATAAGAATTTATTTTTGTTAATTTCCTGCCTTAGACAACACTGCCTGGATTTTAACTAGGAGATCTGGCTTCCGACAGCACGAGCAGAACACCTTTTACCTCCCCATCCTGATCTCCGATAATGGGCACCCCATGCTGAGCAGTACTGGCACCCTCACCGTGCATGTGTGCAGCTGTGATGGCGACGGTGTGGTGGCGTCTTGCAATGCAGAAGCCTATATACTCCCAGTCAGCCTGAGCAGAGGAGCACTCATTGCAATTCTAGCCTGCATCTTTGTCTTGTTAGGTAAAACCTGTGTTCCTTTCCCTAATGAGGGGATTCACGCACCTGTTCTGGTCATATTACTTGGCAGACTGTTTGCCTCACAAAGGTTGGTTTTATATTATATAAGCAAGTGTGTAAAATACACGTAAAGCTGTTTCTTCATTGACCTAAGCACTTATCCCAAGATTGTATGAGACAAAGAAGGGCAACAGGGCAAGAGAGATCAACCCCCACATGACCAAATGGTCTAACTCCCTCTCTCACACACACCAACCAGAAAAAAATGGAAACTTGTAAATATCATTATTTTGGCTCTGAATCTTCCAGGTGATTAGCACCTCAGTTCTGATTAAAACAAAGAATGGGAGCAAACTGATTACTTAAATGGTCCCATCATCATATCTTAGGCTAGGATCTATCTCCTGTGGGAGCAATGGTGCTTAACATCTCTCTTGCTCTCTCATTTCTCCACAGATAGGATCCATTTTCCTACCCATTACCCCTATACTCTCCCCCACATATTGGGATCAACAGGAGTCTGGGTCAAATTGCTCCTTCCCTTGATTGCCACTCATTGCCTAGAGGTTCAGAAGTTCACATTCTGTCTGAGGAGTAATGAGATAGATGTACAGGCTAACATTTTTAAAAAGCACCAAAGTCCTATTTTCAACAGTGACTATTAGAAGCAACCAGGAGCCTAAGGTCATGTCTGCACCAGAGAGCTTTTACACCAACTGCACTGCTGTACATCTCTTGTGAAGCGCTCTATGCTGATGGCAGAGAATTCTCCCGTTGACATAATTACACTGAGCAGCAGTTGCAACATCAATTTGAGGAGCTCTCCTGTTGACATAGAACTGGGCACAAAAGCACTTCCTCAGTGTAAATTATGTTGCTCAATGGGTTGGGGTTTTTAAAAACTCCTTAGCAACATAAGTTATACAAACAAAAGTGACAGCGTATATATCACAGACTCCTAGAAGAGACCTCAGGAGGTCATCGAGTCCAGCCCCCTGCCCAAGGCAAGACCAACCACAACTAAATCATCCCAGCCAGGGCTTTGTTAAGCCGGGACTTGCAAACCTCTAAGGCTGGAGATTCCACCACCTCCCTAGGTAACCCATTCCAGTGCTTCACCCTCCTCCTAGTGAAATAGTTTTTCCTAATATCCAACCTACACCTCCCACATATAATCTGTGTCATTTAAAAAAAAATCAATGGGATCATGAGAGAGAGGGAGCAGATTAGATGGGCCCAAACTACAATATTTGGGTATGGGGCCAGATTATAGCAAGCCTTCTCCTTACTCCCAAACTCTAGTCTGTTTAAATTCTGAGATTTGTTTTGGCCTGTTACTAAAAAAAAAAAAATCCAAATGACACATTCAGACCAAAAATTTTAAATTACACTTTTGTAGCCCCATTCCAGCTAACCAAATCTGAGAACTCTTTGACTTCTAGGTACTACTGATTTAGCCTCACATCGAGAGTAAATTATTAAATGAAGTATTTCACTTATTACAAAATTGACATGTTGCTTCTGACTGTGTTGGTCTTTGCACTTCCATTGCATCTTTCAGCCACTCCTTCTGTTAGAAATGCACAATTGATCCTTTTCTCAGTCATTTAGGAGAGCAAAAGTCAGAGAGCTGCTCTTTCTAATGCCCATGTGTTTTGGTTGCCCCTTGTAGTGCTCGTACTGCTCATCTTATCCATGAGGCGGCACAGGAAGCAGCCCTACATCATTGATGAAGAGGAGAACATCCATGAAAATATCGTCAGATACGATGATGAAGGGGGCGGGGAGGAGGACACCGAGGCCTTTGACATTGCTGCCATGTGGAACCCCCGAGAGGCTCAGGCAGTGGTGAAAAGCAGACAGGACATGCTGCCAGAAATTGAGAGCCTCTCCAGATACGTGCCTCAGACGTGTATAACAGACAACAACGTTCACAACTATGTGCTGGCCAAGCTATATGAAGCTGATATGGACCTCTGGGCTCCTCCTTTTGACTCCCTGCAAACATACATGTTTGAAGGGAATGGCTCAGTGGCAGAGTCACTCAGTTCATTACAGTCTGTCACTACAGACTCAGACCAGAGCTATGACTACCTGACAGAATGGGGACCTCGCTTTAAAAAGCTGGCCGAGATGTATGGTGTCACAGAAGGCAACGGGGCTTTGTGGTAACAAATGAGGAGCAGAGTGTTTTCTACATGATACAGACATCTGAATCTAGATCCATTCTCATTGGAAGCTTGTATGGACATAGGCTGAGACCTCCTAAAATAGCAGTATGGTGCTTGAGTGAAAGGGGTGCAAACTAAGCTCTCTCTGGATCAGCTTTACTCAGTTAAATTAAGTTACATTTTTAAAGAAAGAAGAAAAAGAGGAAAAGTATTTCCTGATTTTGATAGCTATATTTGAAACTGTCATTCCTGGAATATTATAATAGTCTCTCTCTCTCTCTCTCTCAAACATGGCAGCTTACTGAGTTGTTTGGATATGAAGATCCTTAGGTTCAATAGTAATATTCAGCTCACAGGGAAATTGTCAGTAAAAGAGGATCCTCAATTGGTTATTTTTCCCCATTTAAAAAAAATTGCTTGCATACAAAACGAAGAAAACAAAAAAGCAGAAAACCGAAACTGGAATTTTATGGAGTGTTCTTTATAAAAATCAGCCTTCTTTCTTTATTGCTAAACGTTCCTTTAATCATTGGAAAACAAGCTTGACTTTTCCCATGTTGCTCAGAGGGGAGGGCTTGGAAAGATCTTTGGATTGGTGCTCTAGTTTAATGGCTGATAAATGAGTCATTGAGGTTAATACTAATCTGCCCCCGTCAAGTTAGTGTAAATTTATTCTCCTCTCAACTCTTTAAAATTTTGGCACCGCTGAACTGCTCAGAACAAAACCAGAAAATCTGCCTCTTTTGCACTGTAGATGTCTTTTCCATGTGCCAAATGTGGTTAGATGCTAGCAATGAAAGCCAAATTAAAAAAAAAAAAAAAAAAAAAAAAGATAAATACATGGGTTAGAGGGGCTTTCCTAATCTGTGTGAGGTCAATCCAAGGGATGTTTACATACTGTAGATAACCTACTTGAACAAATGCAGTATTATAGAAGAATAAATGGATGTAAGAAAATTACATGTATAAGTTTTGTATATTTGTTAATAATTTTGATAATAAATATTATGTACAGCACACAGTACAGTACCTTAGCACCTCTTTTAATAAAAGTTATATTCAAGAGACAGTCTGATGACAATGTATTGGATGCTTTATGTACACCAGTTACTGCTTAGAGTTGTATAATGGAACCAAATATGCAGGGTCATGCCCACAAAATATTCTATTCTGAATAGTAGAAACTTCCTAAAAAGCAAGACAGAGTCAAACCTTGCTTTATGATGCATTTAAGGCTATGTTTTAAACCCAGCTTGACTTGTGTGCACAAACACTCATGCACTCCTTGGGTCACACAGATGGCAGCATCTACTCCTGAAATCCATGTGTGCTCAATTTCCTGTGCAAATAGAATTTGGTGCATGGGGATTCTGTCATTTCCATGCCCTAAAAGTAGTACACAATTTTTAGGGCATAGAAATGACAGAATTCCCATACACCAAATTCTATTTGCACAGGAAGCGAACCAACAATTCAGTGCATGCTTTATTGGTACTTTGTTTTGAAATACAGATCTCAGATTGCATCTGCAGGTTCTTTGCATCTAAAGAGGCCGTGCACACAAGGATGTGCTGAAACATGTGCTAGACCTAAAACAACAAGATTGTATTATGTCATATCTGTCTTCCCTCCTTCCCCCAGTCTCCATTTTACACTCTCCACACACGCCTGTGTCTTTATTTGGTCTGGTTTTAGACTAAGCTCTTCAGCAAAAAGAACTAGCACTATGTAAAACAGCAAATAAAAATGCTTCAGTGGTTTCTCGGATGTTTACTCATCAGTTGTGACAAAATTAGGAGTTTTAATAGATGCAATATGCCAGTTCTACACCTAGACTGGACTCTTCACTAAGAGCAAAAAAATGTGTTCTATAAAAGTGGCTATTGTGTGAACCAAGTATATACACCAGATTCCCTGTTACAGCAGTTTTATAGAAATGTATGTCTCTTCTAACTCAGTGAATAATTGCATAAAATCATTTTAACAGCGTGGTGAAAGAGGCTTATAATGTTTTAATCTTAGAAGAGAACTCAGGGTTTAAGCCATTTTATAATGTATGTATTGGCTCTAGAAGTCAAACCCTATTAGACCGTTAAGTGTATTTTTGTTTGTTTATACAGAAGAAAATAAAAATCGTTTTCCCTAAAAATAGTTTTATGAAGCCCTGCTCAAAGTTGCTCCTATTCTTTAACTTTTATGACTGTGATAGTCAACTCTACTATACTTGGTAAAGCAGTGGAAACAGTTCTGTAGTCCCAGTTTTATATTTGCCTTTACTCAGCCTCCTTGATATTTACAGAACACTCTTTACATAGAGTATTTATGGACAACTATATGAGGGAGCTCTGATAGTCCTCAAACCAATTTCTCATTAGGAGTGCAGGCAGCTTCCAAAAGAGAACCATGTGCAGTGCAACACAACTCATCTAAAGAAAGAGGAGAAAGACAACTGGAAAGGGTGAGGTCATCTTGTTTATCCTTACTCCTGTTGGTAATCAAGGACCCTCATTATGACTGAGGAAACCACAATCTGCCCACAATGGTTTTAGTGAGAGAGGTGAAAGAAAGAGCTCAAGGTATGTCTACATAGTAGCAGTAAAGTCTAATTAAGCTACACAACTTCAGCAACATCAATGGTGTAGCTGAAATCTCAATAACTTAATTCGGCTTTAGGCGCTGTCTTCCTAGCAGAGAGTCAAAGGAAGAACCTTCTTTCTTCGACTTCCCTTACTCCTCATAAAATGAGGGTTACAGGAGTCAGAGTAAGTAGTCCTCCAGCTCGACATTTCAAAATAATGACTTGCTGTGTTGACATGCTCTTTGTTATTTCAGAATATCTGACGGTGCTATGTAGATGTACCCTAGGAAAAGAGAAGTGACCAGGAGAGTACAGAATGATGTGAAAGGCTTTGGATTAGGTTTTTAAGCAGCTTTCTATATTCAGGCTCCAGGAGGCAACCATGCAGCCTCATTATTGAGAGCTGGGAGCCAACTGTGCTGCGGAAAGAACTGAATCTGAAGAAACCCAGACATCAGGAGGGGGGGGGGCATTCAGGTGAGCTGTTGCAGGCTTTTGAGAGGGTTAAGCTTCATAACCAAGACTCTGAACGACTCATATGCAGGAGTCATATGCACACAACACTGATATGACAGTGAACAAGCTGCTAAGTGGACAAGCTGCTAAGGGGAAGTCGGAATCACCCACACTGGACTATTTAAAGCCAAATTTAACACCAGGCATTTTATATTTATGGCATATAAATAGCTGTTAATCAGAGATGGTTTAAAGATAAAGATATCAAAGGAGCCACACAGCAAGTGGCTGTGGACTTGATGACCCACTAAAATTCTATCAGCACTACCAAAAAGATTGTTTGAGGATATAGTTCAGAACACATGCTGTGCTGCCAAATAACACTAACTTGCGGCAAAAGCATGGGAAGTTTAGATGAAAGGTTCCTTATCCCATTACCAATGCCCTAACTAGGCGTTTCCCAAACTATGGGACCGCGGGAAAAAAAACCAGACCTCAGCATGGCTGCCAGGGCGTTTCGGGCTCCCGGACTGCCCGTTCAGTGCTGGGTTCCTCAAGCCCTCAGCCGGGCAGGGCGGATGCAGACGTATGTTTCAGGCTCCTGGCAGAGGCATAGTGAGGGTTACCGGTGAGCTCTTATTGCTGGCTGTGGAGGGGAGGAGGGGTTGGATGTGGGCCGCAGGGAAGCAGTGGAGCTCTCCGGGGGAGATAGGGAGGGGAACCGGCCGGCGGAAGCAGGGTTGGCAGGGGCTGCAGGGCTCATCAGGAGAGATGGGTAGAGAATCAGCCGGTGGGGACAGCGGGGCTGGCCCAGGGCCGAGGGGGAGAGGGAAAAGGTGCTGGGGAGGGGGGAAAGAATCGGCCAGCGGGGAGCGGGACAGTTCAGGGCGCACGCAGCTCCTGAATAAAAATGTAAAAGCAGTGCCTTTCAAATATCCCCACTGCTGACAGTGAGGTTTAAAGGCACTGCAGTGTGTCAGAATGGAGAGAACCTGGCGCATTCACCATCCGGAATGAGAATATGGATAAAAAAAAATTCCAAAGATGGTGTCAGCTTTCTGAAAATAAATGAGCCCCTGTTCAATACACAATGTGGTGGTGCAGGGTTTTATTGGATTACAGTCCATTTTTCCAATCCATATTCCCTTAACTTGCTGGTAAGAATGTTGTGGGTGGCCGTATCAAAAGCTGGCCCTGGGGGCTTTAGGAGGACCAAACCCAATGTATTTACATATTTGTCATTTGCTTAATGAATATGCAAATAAATGTCACCAGTCCTCCGAAAGCTCGTGAATGGATTTCCTGGTCCCCATGTCAAAAAGTTTAGGAACTCCTGCCCTAACTCATGCAGTCCCTGTGGCAGCTGTAACTGTGGAGTATGTACAGTTACTGATTTCTTTTGTTTCTTTGGTCTTGACGGGTTCTTTTCCATTGAAACCTGTCTGTGAGAACAACCAAGCCAATGGAAAAAAAAAAAAGGACCAGATTCAATTTTCTTGGGGGTTCCTTCTGAAAAATGAATCCAACACAGGCTCAATACTCCACCCCAAAACCTGGCAAACTACAATAGTCACAACTTCTCCACTCACAAGCACTGAGTCTGGATATTTAAGAACAGAATTTGATGGTGGGGGAGTGCCAACAGAATTAATATGGGAAAGCCAGCAATAAACTAACAATACCTCTGAGGTAAGACTCCCACACCAATGAGGCTGTCTTGGTAATAATCCCCATTTCAATTCTTGGTTTCAGTTTGGGCAGGGCTAAGATGTTCTAGCGACATTCCCCCTCCCCAGCTCTCCCACTCACAGCTGGTTGTTCAGGTTGGTGGAATCCAAGATTCTGGAAATTCTCCCTCTGGCTCCTAGATGTAATACAGGTTGTCCTATGCAAGAGAGTCTCCCTCACCTCATCCAGCTGACTGGATTTCAGCACTGAGTAGAGGGAGATTCATAGCAGAGTCCCCAGTAAGCTGCCCCTCGCAGCACCTTCATCCCAAGCCATCTCGGTGCTATCACCTACCTCAGCACTAGGCATAATGGCTACACACCCACCCCACTTCATTACACCATCTGGGTTGGTACAAGGGAAGCTTCCAGACATTCCCAGTGCAACATGCTCCAACCTGGTGCCTAGAGGAAGGCTTAAGAAGAACGGTGTAAGAGAAAATGATGCTAGTGCTGTATCAGAAAAAAAAACTCCTGACTGGCTGACTCCATAGCAGAAGCACTCGGCTGGCATTCAAGCCCCTTCTTTTTGTGCTGCCAGGACTTTGTTACTGACAGACACTCCAGCAGATTCGGGCATCTCTCTGATTGCTGTCAGCATAGAAATCAATGAACCGTCGCTTGGAGAAAGGCTGCCAAAGGACTACAGAGGAAGTCTTCCACAGCTGTTGGTAACTGCGTGCCTCTTTGACTATTCAATAAATCCAACAACCGAAGTTGACTTATTTGAAGTTTGCTGTTATTGAACTGATCTGGACTCAAAAGAACTCATCTCTTTGAACAAATACTAAGCACAGTGTGAGAACAACTTGAAGTGTAATCAATTAATGGATTAAGTACAAGTTATTTGATCACTGAATACCAACAATACATTTATAAGTCAGCAGCATCCTCACATCTACTGCTCTCTCCTTCCTCCATTCACTCAGGTCATCAAGAACCTGGCACTGGACTGCTCAAGATACAGCATTAATTATATTCATGCTCAATGCAGGGCCAGATCCTCAGCTGATAGAAACCCAGCCATGCACATTTACACCAGCAAAAGATCTGGCCTGCAAGTCTTAGTA